GACTGACTTACTTAAAAGTGGTGGTCAACGACCGTCCACGTACATGTTGATAACGATAGTAGTTACATAGGACTTAACAGAACTTATTACATCTTTGATAGCGAAATTTGATTTCAATTAGTTTAAAATAATGTTATTCATTTTGGAAACAATGTAAAAAGAATCTTTTAGGATTGTATTTACAATGAGTTTTTAACCGACAGCAGAACTATTAGTTTTCGAATATTCGTAGTATTTTTATATAAATGGATTTAATTGTGATAATCAGCACTATACAGTTTTAGGTCAGGAATTACAAAGTTTCTTTACGTTTATAATTGCTGAATTTTCTTGTAAAAATTAATTTTCATGTTTAAAGTATACATTCCATAATGGTTGAAAAAAAAACCCAAGTTATTAAAAATCAGTACTTTTGATTATCTTGATTAAAATCAAATTTTACATTTATTTAACTAATTTTTAAACAATTATTGTATTTGGTATTTCTTTAATTTGCATTGTAAATAATGGTTTGGATATTTCTCTTCTTGTATCTATAGTCTGTAAATATACTTTTAATCAAGGACTATATAAGGCATCTTTGTAGATAGTTAAAAACTACAAAACTTATGAAGCAATAAAACTATAGAGTTGTGGCAAAAGCTGTAAAGAAAAATAGTATTTCGATTAAATGGGTTGGACAACATGTGGGCATGCGGAGATTCCCTTTAAGTAGCGAGTATGTGTGTATAGTATAGAAGTTTTTGTGTAAATCGATAAAATATGTTATCTGGATAAAACAACAGTGATCTGTTTGACAGTAAAACTGCCTAGTTATTTTTGAAATGCATAAAATATGGAGATACGACTAACATTGAGTTAACTATACATAACGAAAACTTGACTACATTAATTTATTAGCAATACGTATGTTAGCAGACATCATTCGTTTCCGACTTGAAATTTCCTTTGAATTTAGTACTCCTCAATGAGCATTGCATTTACAATATTTGCTTTTGAATACATATCATTTAATGTACTGTTATTCTGAATGAGATATTCCACATTGTTGATAAAGTGACAATAACAAAATTTTACTTCCAACCTCACTTGATAACTTTCAGGTTTTATGTCAAATGATCGCTTATAACAACAAACCAAGTTATACAATAGTAAATAGTGCTTTAAAAATGAAAATGTATAATCTAAATTGTTTTTCTCCTTCCTAGTTTATACTACTTTTTTATAATATGCTCAAAGTTTCATTTAAAATATTATAAGTTTGCAGAATCTATTTTTAACTCTTATACATGCACATATAAATATAAATTAAACGAGTAAATAGATGTTATTTTTTTTATTAATTGATGACTATCCAACCTCATATCTTACTTAAAAACCACCCTTACATACAAATAATAGTAAGTGATTTGAAAAAATCAAAAATATTAAAATTTTCTAAAAATAATCTTTAACATTGTTTAAATACCTGATTTGTTTCGATAAATTAAAATATATATCAGTTATCTTATAACGATATTAATTACCACTTCTATTTATGTGTACATTTAAATTATTTAAGCATGTATTTGGGAATATAAACATGATTGGTGGAATATTAACGTTTATTTAAACTAGTAATCAGGTTAAACACCTAACCTTTAGTGAATACGTTGCAACAAAAAGTTGAATGAGTTATTTGAGTTTTCTTTAATTTTTGTATTTATGTTAAATATAAGATTAAAAAAAATATCCTGACGATCCATTGTTTAGTGTTTTTTTAAAGGTCTACTCATTGTTATTAAAATTTTGCATTACAGGCATTTGATTGTAGGTACGTAATTAATAACAGCGACGTTCTCAACGTGTATACCAGTGCCTATCATATTTTAGAGCATATTCCCCAAATATTGTCAAAAATAAAAATTCATTATACCACCTCTAAAGAAGTCCAAATTATAACAATTATAGCTGGATCTGTCCTAATTTTAAATCCTAGGTACGCCCTGAGTTTAAAAGAATGTATACAAGACACCCTCTTACAAAGTTTTTATTACATTAAAGGAGTATATGATTCAAATTTATGACCATATTTATTATTTTACTAATAACAGTATCCTAAATTATATGCATTTATAAATATTGTTTAAGCCATTTTGAAGTATCCTAGGTTTTTGCACATATGTCGATGGATTATATAATACTTTAAAAATATTTTTCGTTTTAAGGGATAAAACCTTCTATTATCTCCCTTAAAATTAAAATATCGGTAACAGCACATAACTAAGTTTTCAAGTCAATTAATAAAAATTTTCTACTGGCTTTTGTTCAGAGCGCCTTAACAAAACTTAGAAATGCATATAATTCCGCGCCTTATTTATAGCTCCTTAAAGGCTCTAAGATTTATTGTCTAAACTTCTAATAATTCTATCATTTTTATTTCAAACATCTAGATTATTTAAATTATGAATGATCTTAAAAATATTTATATTACTTAAAAATAGCCATTAAAAAAATCTAAAATAATATTTTTGTATATTTAAAATAAGTGACTCTTGAGGATACGTAGAATAGTTTTGGTAAAGATATATTAATGAATGTAGAAATACAAATATTTGTTTATAATTTAAGTTAATTGCACTCGTACTCATAGATAATATTATGTAATTATGTTTAATATAAAAAATAATTGAATAATTACATATAAAGAAAAATTTAAGTATTATAGAGAAACGTATTTTTATTTATTTTCAATTGCAGGATGACGATTGTGTGCCAGTTCAAAATCCTGAACAAGTTTCTTTCCAAGTAAACAGCGATTTATCGGAAGACGAAGCGTCAACGGCATTCGCACTGGTAAGTTCAATTTGATTTCTTTATCACAAAATTTACGTATTAAAAGTGTATCCACCTACTGTGTACTATAGATATAAATTAATTTTTATTTATAAAAAAGTTCAATATCGGCGGTATTTTGTTTTCTGAATAAAATTCATTAATTTTTCTAAAAATGTTAATATCCTTAAGTAGTAAATTTATTTTACTTTATTTCTTGTTATAATACATACAATTATAACTTTATTCTATTTCGAAAAGGAATTCTAATTTATTTTTGAATTAATATTAAAATATACTTTAAGTAGTTATTTTTATATCTCGTATAGAAATAATAATAATTAAATGTAACGTATTCAAGTTTTACTGTTTTTGATAAAATCAACAATGACTAAACTTTTCCTAAAAAGTTGTTTAAACTATTCTTGGTGAATAATTCTTTATTTATTTTACTGTTACTGAACTTAGATATTATTACTATCGCAAAAGAAATCCTTAGACATTATAATTACAAAACCCTCAGGCGATTTAGTTATGTTAGTATTCGGTAGGTGGCTGGTAAAATACTAAATACATGTCTTGCAGCTACCGTTTTATTAAAGGCGTTGTTGGAATATTTTGATGATAATTGTTACATGTTCAATAATTCGTCAAAAAAACTAAAAACTTTGGAAGAGGGCAGACATATTATTCGTGTTTTAACACATTACACACATAATGAATAAATAAATATTTTTACTGATATTATGAATATCATAAATGTTAATTGATTCTTTAGTATTGTCATTTAAAAATATAAAATATACGTGAATCGACATAAAAATACAATTTATTTAAAAATTTCATACAAGGAATCACGTTCGATGTGGTGAAGTTATATTTTAAACAGATGTAGTCAATGTGCCGAGACTTTGTTTCCTTACTAATATATTCTGTTGGTATAAACAATTTTTGAAAATGATTCTCCATTTTCATGGGCATATATGAACGTACAAACTTTATAACATTTTTTGATTTAAAATAGTTTGAAAAAATTACAAAAATAAAACTTTACAATATACGAATATATTATTGTTATCCAAAGAATTAAAATTATTTAATAGTTATTAATTTAAATTAATCATTTACATAATTTTCTGGCTAAAGTATAAAACTAAATTAAACTTATGATAGATTATATTAATTTAGTTATGTAGTTTAATGTAATTGATGATAATTGGTTTAATGAAATATTTTAAAATATTCTCATACTCTTTAGCATTTTCTCTCTATTGCGTTCGTATAATATATTTATGTATACAAAGTATTTATAAAGTAAGATAAAAATAAAACAATTCTTTCTCGTAAAGTAAGGAAGAAGATCAATTTTTAAGAACGAAGGGGATAATAGTTTATATTTTCTTTATTTACTGAATAGCCTATACAATATTGTTAAAGAGAGGTTAAACGGGAATAGAACTCTTGGTATAAGAATTAAATGTGTCTTACGTGCTATTGAAAGAAAGAATGATTATTACTTTGTTCTTCTAAACATAATTTATCTTCAAACGTTTTATATTGTATTAAAGTTATTACACAAAAAATAGATATAAAAATGTATAATATGAATTTTACTGTATAAAATACTTATTGGAAAATAATTTTGAGTTTTATGTATCATTAATGCCAAAAATTCTATCATCTAGATGTCAAGGATGTATTTTTAGACGACTATATAGGAGATCGTCTTTCATTTTTTCATTATTTTGTTTTTTGGGAAATTTTTAGTAGAAGAATTTTTTTTTAAACGCATATAGTAATAAGTTTTTTTTATTATAGTAACAAAATAATGAATCACCTTTTCTAAAACATTACTACCTAATTTGAGTGTCATATTGAGATTTCATAAAAAGCTTACTTTTAAAAGATAATTTGAAATTTGTTTAATTGTTAATGAATTTGATATGTTTATTTTGGGTATTTTGACTAATTAAAATTTTACTAAGGCATATTTTCAACTAAGGCAGTGATACTTATGCTATTGAAGACTTAAAAGCAATAATGTGCTTTATAATGAAAAAAAATAAAAATAAAATTAGTCCTAGAAAAATGTTCCTAGTGCCAATTCCAATTACATATAATATGAGCTAAGTAAATTAGGAGGGGAAAGGAAATAAAGAAAGAATGTAATTTATTTTTATATAAATAAAAAAAATATAGATTAAGATAGGAAAAAATAATAGGGCAAACCTGAATTTTTTTCATGAGTTATAAGTATAAGCTATTAATAGTTAAATAAAGTACTATTTTGTTTAGAATTTTCTTTTAATTTCAAAAAACGATGAATTACTTCAAATTATTTTTTTTACTTAAGAATTTTAAGGTACAAAATGTGCAAATATTTAATGTTTGATAAAACCTTAATAGTAATTTTAGAAGAAAAAAAAATTCTTTTAATTAAAAAAGAAATGTATTAAATTTAAGTTTTACTTTTATATACTCAAATAATATATATGATAGATAGATTTTATACCTATCTATCATATCACACTGTACGTGAAAGAGGGCCGTATTTCGAAAAAACGCATTTCGAATAAACGTCTTTTAAATTTCTTTCTCTAGTAAGAGTTGGTTTGTGTGTTACTTTTTTATTTTTTATTCAAACAAAGTTCAATTCAAATTAAATGTAAGTAGCTTACATATTTAAATGGAAGGGGCGTGGTGGATACAATAGATCATTCACCTTAGTATTTATGTTTAGCTGAACTGTTCTGTTAGTTGCCAGATGTGTGACCATTGAAAAAAATTTTATGTGATACGTTATGAAAATTAATCACTATTTTTATATTTGACCCGCCAGAAATTTTGAAAATTCATATTTGGCTTTTCTAAAACTCGAATAGACTGCTGTTTTAGCAAAAGAGTAAAATCATTCAAGAACAGCATGATAATTATATCACAATAATTAAAAATTTTATTAGGAAAATTATTTTTCCACATTCGCTTTTTAACTAATTTTTTAAAATTAAGCTATGAGCTACGATTTCTTTATTAATATGTCTGTTACATTTGTCAGAAAACTTACTAGTTAGGCTCTTTTACTTAGTTACACAAGATAAAATATTTTACTAGTTTTTAATTAAATGTGAAGAACGAAAAAGAATAAAACAACAAAGATATACAAATTGAGGTCACGTCGAGTAGTATCACACGTAGTAATGATCTACTTTAAACGAAAGAACTCTTATGTCGTGTTTATAAATATATATATAGATATTAAAATATGTACTAGAGTCTATATTTTTGTTTCAAATTTAATAATTTAGAAACAATTTTTATTTAAATATTATTGTATACTAACACAATTGATTGATAACTATTGGAAATAACAACAAAAATTACCTTGATCTGTATCTATATTTTGGATATTAATCAAAGACTTGGTTAATTTAACTAATTGTACACATGTATAATATACAGTCTTGTAATATAATATTATTATATTACTTGGCTTTTTTTTATACTTTCCATGGGTTACTATAGTTACTGAATATAAGGTTTATTTTAATAATGTTTCATAATTAGTATTAAAAAATAATAATACAATAGCTATAACAAATGAGTCGGATGTTATTTTATTATTTTAATTTTAGGAGGATCAACTAGTCAGAGTGTTAGAAAAAAATACTGAGCTTACCATACAGAATACAGATCTACATAAACAAGTTTTACAACTTCAACATGTAAGTATAAAATTTCAACAATTTATATTTTAACTGATACAAAACAATTAAAGTATAAAAATTACACCACTTGGTCAATTTTAATGTTTATGCAGGCCGCAGGAAACTCACATCAGGTCTGTAAACAAATCTCCTAGCATATGTTCAAATAAATTTTGCTACCCATGTTCTTGCACATATCAGATAGAAGAACCATTGTACTTGAACCCATCCATAATATCTTGATTCATATATCTTTATTATTGTAAATGTCTTTCTATTAGATTGAACTAATAAAAAATGTTTACGTCCTGTGATAATTGATTTATTAAAATTTGTCCGTTTTACGTATATGTTTCATGTGCATTAGAAACACATTAAGATAAAATAGCTAATATTGAAAATATAATCGAAATGCGATCGTTAACACATACATGTAATGTTATGTTTTGTTTTACATGTTCTCTTGTTATAAAATTAACGTTTTGTTTATAATATTTGTTAAGTTAATATCTTATATTTACTTAGCACTTTTAATAATGATAAAATAAAAATGAATTATGTACAATTCAATATCATACATAAGAATTGGTTTAAGTTAATTTATAATTATAATATAATCTGTTTATATTTATAGGTAAAAAAAGGTTCCGGGCTGAGCTCGGCATCAGCCCGGGGAAATTTGGATCATGAAATCGATGAAATTCTTAAAGTAATACTTTCTAATGAAAAACTTTGGATTTTGGTAATTTGGATTTTTTAATATTATGATTTTGTAGCTCATGCAAGATGCGTCCGACAAAAAGAGATCGTTGGAAAAAGAACATAAAGAATGCATAAATCAACTTCAAGAAAAACAAAAAGTGCTTCAGACTAAATTATCAAATATTAATTATGCAGAAAAAACTAGGCTGTGCGAACATATTGAATCATTACAAGTAATTAATTAGTTTATTACACTATCTTTCATGTGTATTAAATCAATTTGTATTGATTGAGTTTATTTTGTTTAGTCAAAAATTAGGGAATTTGAAAAGAAAATGGAATTGGAAAATGTACGCCAAGAAGAATTACAGTTAGAATTAGAACATCATAAAAAGACTGCTATTAAATCGACATACAAAAATACTGACTTGTCACTTAATTCACCAGCGGAATCAACAACTTCTAGTAGCGATCCAAGTAATAATTATTATTTTATTAAATATTGTACTATTGGGAAGAAAATAGATTAAATTCTAGGTCTATTTTTTGAAAATATGTGTGGCAGCCACACCCAACTCCTCTATTGATTTTTTTTTTTTTAATTCTATTTAAAATCTCTCTATTAAACTTTTGTTTTTCATTAAAAACTGATATGATAAAAAGAGATCAGGCCGAATAATAATCTAATTTTATTGGAGGACACGAAAAAAAAAATTGTGCAGCATTAGAATTCGTCATCAAAAAACTTATTTATACCCTTTTAGAAATTGCTGCGGTATGGTGTGTAGTTGAGAATATATACGGCCGTCTTGATTTTAGCGTGTAAAATGGTTTAATCATCATACTTGTTTATTGCATGTATATATATATATATATTATTTTTTAAATTAAAACATGAGCCAATTATTTTAAAAACAGAGTACCACTTTTAATGATGGCAGATGAGATAAGCGGGTTGTGTTTAAATGATAAGGCATACCAACGTTGAAAGAGGGAAACCCAAAAATTAGTAAATGCATGTACAGTTCTTTTATGTATAAAAATATATAATTTAAGATAAACCATATATAGGCCAGTCAACAAAGAAAAAATGGCGGAAAAAATTCCCAACCAAATTTTTATTTTTTAAAAAGTTGAATTAAGATATGTATAATGACATACTAAAAGTTCTCATCGATTGGACTTGAGCTTTTTTTTTTACAGCCTCGCAAAAGTTCAAAAATATGAGCTTTTTTAATTTTCTCAAAAAATATTTAACTTACAAAAAAAAGTTTCGTATAAAAGTTCTTTAAAAAACAATTTTAAACAAAAAAGGTATCTTGTATTTTTTCATTCAAACAAATATTTTTCGAGTTACATTACATTTAATATGAGTACTAAAATTTATTTTCCAATTTTTTTCATTTTACGGTTACTTTTTATCATGTTAACCTTACATTAGACAAAATGTTATAAATGCATATGTGTGTATGTGTAAGTTTATTTATTTATAGTATCATTAAAGTGTAGTGTATAATAAGATACAACCGATAAAGTAAGTAATTGATTTGACGCTATATTGTTTAAACCCAACTAAACGCTAAATTGTACATTCCTAAACAACATTTATATTATGTCAATTGCCACCGGAATTTCTGCGAATAATAAAGATAATTGTCATAAAACGGCCTTTAGTCTGGTGCTGGAGGTGGTAAAAGTTGTGGCTGCCGAAAAACAGGGCTTCAATGTTCTATTATATGTGAACATTGCAAAGGTCATTGGTGTATAAATTCAATAGAAATAAAGATTGAAGATTAAGAAAATTGTACTTTTGTTGAAGATATATTCTATCAAAATTTAGAATGGGAAAATGAATAAGAAAATGGAAAAACATTTTGTTTGATACACTTGTCAAATAACTTTATAGTGGAGAAATCCTCCATCGATTACATACTTTGCACTAGTAATGCATATAACTTGTATTTAGGATATAAATACGGAAATAGGAGATCATGTAGTTTTTGTAATAATCCATTAAAATTTTAAAATTAAACACTATCTACAGATTTGCATCAAGGCGTTGTTTTTTGATAATGATTTTAATCATTGTCACATATCATCTATACTGCACCCAATTATACACACTGTGCCGGGACACTGCTGGTTTTTTTTTAAATAGCGATTAGTTGAAATAGTAGCAGTGGGTTTACTTTAATTATTTTATTATTAATTTTAACAATAGAAGTTATTGAAGATACAGTTATAACTTTATTTGATCTTTTAAGATCTATATCATGAAAGTTATTATCTACCATTGAGTTTACTAGAACAAGACCAATTTTGGACACTTTATGACAATTAATTTTATCATTACCAGAAATTCTGGCTGGGTTGACAAAAGAGAACATGAGGTAGGTGAAATGAGGAGATCAGTGACAATAGGCGAGAGTGTGAATGGGGAGGTAGAAGGTTTTAAGTATTTAGGATCAATAGTGCAAAAGAGCGATGGTATTGACGAGAATGTAAGACACAGGTTTAAGTGCGGGTGGTTGAAGTAGAGAGAAGCGTCTGGTGTCTTATGCGATAAAAGATTTCCAATGAGGCTAAAAGATAAATTATACAACAATGTAGTGAGACTAGCTATGATGTATGGTTCAGAGTGTTGGGCGGTTGATAAGAAAGTAGAGCAGAGAATGAGTGTAGCAGAGAAGAATGCTTAGTTGGATGAGTGGAGTGACTAGAAAAGATAGAAAAGGAACGAGCATATAAGAGGGAATGTAAGTGTAGCGTCAATCGTGTATAAGATGAGAGAAAATAGACTTGGATGGTTTGATTATGTTATGAGGAGAGAAGAATCGGAAGCTGTAAGAACAGTTATAGAAATTAATGTTGAAGGAAGAAGAGGTAGAGGAAGACCAAAAAAGAGATGGAGGGATGCTATTGAATGCAATTTGAGGACAGTGGATGTGAGCGAAGAAGATGTGAGAGATCGTGTCAAGTGGAAGTTTAGGATGAGGGTGGCCGACCCCAAGTAGTTGGGATTAAGGCAAATAAAAAGAAAAAGATTAGCAAAAATTCTGGTGGCAATTGACATAATATAAATGTTGTTTAGGAATGTACAATTTAGCGTTTAGTTGGGTTTAAACAATATAGCGTCAAATCAATTACTTACTTTATCGGTTGTATCTTATTATACACTACACTTTAATGATACTATAAATAAATAAACTTACACATACACACATATGCATTTATAACATTTTGTCTAATGTAAGGTTAACATGATAAAAAGTAACCGTAAAATGAAAAAAATTGGAAAATAAATTTTAGTACTCATATTAAATGTAATGTAACTCGAAAAATATTTGTTTGAATGAAAAAATACAAGATACCTTTTTTGTTTAAAATTGTTTTTTAAAGAACTTTTATACGAAACTTTTTTTTGTAAGTTAAATATTTTTTGAGAAAATTAAAAAAGCTCATATTTTTGAACTTTTGCGAGGCTGTAAAAAAAAAAGCTCAAGTCCAATCGATGAGGACTTTTAGTATGTCATTATACATATCTTAATTCAACTTTTTAAAAAATAAAAATTTGGTTGGGAATTTTTTCCGCCATTCGCCAAAATTACTCCTTCGTTGACTGGCCTAATACAGATCTAACTAAAAACTCATATAACTTTTAATAAAATTCTTATTTGGCTGTGATTTTTTTTTATAATTTATACTTTCTTAGACGAAGTTAAAAACATATTTTTTATTTTTTGTTTTTACTTATAAAAATGATGCAATATTTTTTTTAATTTAACCCTTAACTAGTGACGTGGTTTTTTGTAACATTTAACTATGGTTATATTTTAAGTTTTTGTGTAAAATAAAACAAATCTGTCATTCGAAACTCTATAGCTTATATACTAACATAACTCGCTAAAAAAACAGGGTAGGTAAAGAGTATAAGTTTTTAAGTTTAATTTAATAAAAATATTGTTAATTTTATTTCATTCTTTTTTTTTTTATTATTAAAATGGTTATAACAAAATTAATTTTACATGAATTATCTCATAACTTGTACAGAACTTACCTATAGACATATATATTATATATGTATATATATAAATATATATACATATTTATTTATTAATGAAAAAAGTTAAAATTTAATAAAAAATAAAAGTGACTAAAGTACATAGGGTATTTTTTCTGTATAATAAAAAATTACTTTCGTGTAATAATGTTTTATTATTATTATAAAAAGTTTTAATTTTAATAAAAAAAATGTTAAAATATATTTTTATTTACCACTGAGATTTGAATTGCACACTTTTCCAGAACACTCCAAGCATATTGGATCCCACATAAATGTCAAACATAACATTTTTTATTTTTGATGGACAAATTTTACATGTTTTTTTTTATTTATAGTTGTTTGTTGAAACATCGGTTTCTGACAGATCTTGAATTTGACAAAGAACACGCAGTATTCGTTTATTTTCGTATCGTCTTTCCATTTCTGGTTTGACTAAAGCAAATGCTAATTTGTTTGTTATTTTCCTCGTCAAAAATTTTTTTGGTGGTGCATAGACAATATTAAAAACATCGATTTTCCTGGTTTTCTCGCCATTAATATAATACTAACATGTTTTGTAAAGCCATGCTCTACTGTACTTATTTTTCTTTTTATGTGGTAAAAAAGACAAGGATTTCTCTTTTTTTTTTTTTTACACTGTACCAACGTAGGTATGTTTTTTTCTTTCATAATCTTGACAAGTTCGATAACTAATTATTTGCGGTTATATTACGATTAGTGATTTTTATTGGTGTTATTAGAATAAGAACAGCTTGGGCAGGCTTTGAAATTTTTTTTATCTTGTTTATTGAAATTCATATCGTCAAAATTATTTCGGTATAAATATACGCATTTATCAAGTACCTGTTACATAAATTTGCCATGCACGTCAACTTTATATCATACTTACATGACTTCATTGGCATATATATCTTGAATTTACATCTTCCTCTGAAGCTTGTCAACATTTCATCAATTGTAGCATAACTACCTATGGTGTAAATAGCCTAAAATTTTTTAATAAATTAATTAAATAATTCGATATAGTAGCGATTGGGTTATTTTTTTCTGTCTTCGCTGTTATTGTCAAACCGCAAACAAGTCAAAGATCTTTTTTGGCTAGTCACAAAACAGAAAATTTAACGGCCAGTACCATAAGCTGTGAAAATTAGATCTGAACTTTCATGGTTTAATTTAAAAAGAGATATGTAATAAAATAACCTGAAGCTAATTTCATTGTTAAAAAATAATGACCATACTTTTAACGGATCAGCCCTGTCCCTTAAAACACATGCCTCTGCCCATAATCCCTGGTATTTGGAAAATAATATTTGACTGCAGTGTTCTAGTATTTCTGACTTTAAATTAGCTTTATTCTATTTATAATTATTTTTTCCATAAAAAACTTATTTTTTGAATTAGCAATGTCAGCATCCGAGTCCGAACTATCGAAATTATTTTGATCTTCCTCCACATTGACCCTGTGTTCGGTATCAAAAAAATTATCACTTTCAATGTATACATTTTTATCATCACTTTCAACGTCACTAAAAGTCTCATTTAACAAACTTAAAATATTATCTGCAAATGCATTATCACTTACGCATAATCTACAAATCAAATTAAAGTTCAAATTATGTAATTCAATAATTACTTGTCATAAAATTGTTCTCGACCCATTAACCCATTTTTGTAAGAAAAGTGTTAAAAACTGGTTTTTTGAAAATAAAATAAACCTCAATGAAAAAATAAATACCATTATTATTTTTATTGTTAAAAAAAATATATATGATTTAAAAAAGTGCATAAATTATTTTTAAAAAAATCACAACTCATTGTTAATTATATTAAAAGGTAAAAGAGTACCCTATATTTTGAAATCAGTGGCGATATTTAAGAGTATAATTTATTTATGAATACATTTTAAAACTACATTATTTAATAATTTTCAGAATATAGTTCACTAAATCATTCATCATTGCCCGCATCATTAGAACGAACGTATTCTATTGAACAATTAAGACAACATAGGATACAATCAGCAGGTACAATTTATTAACGAAATAATATCAATTTTTATCGGTTTTTATACGATACCCAATAAATCGTCGTGCCTCCAAGACAAATACTTATGACTCAAAAACTCAAATTTGTAGATTTTTTTTTTTGAAAACAACATACTTAAAATGATGATGCATATGTTATACAAATATGGAATGAAAAATATTATACTATTTAATAGAGTATTTTAAAAACATAATTAACTGCAAAAAAAATGTAATATTCTATTATTCCTCTTGAAAATATCAAACATTTGAGTTACCTTTTTTTTGTCTTGGAATAGAAAAAATTTATGTTCATAAATAATGATTTAATCGTAATTATTAAATTAAAAGTTGTTTTTTTTTATTCATATGTCAATATTACGAATTTATTAGGGGACGTCTTAGACACAACCAATACAAACAAATCAACATTAATCGGTAGAGCATCCACGTTACCATCAGAAATAGACCGAATAATGGCAAAAATTGACCAAGATAATCGGGTATTGGCTGAACTAGATAAAACAAGATCGACAATAGGTAACAACAAAATTTGATTATATTTTTTATATGAATTCCTTAACTATCTTATGTATATACAAAATATAAACATTCATATTTTATAAAAAAAAAAAAATAATCTGTGAAAAAAAACAGTTGCTGGGGGTCACGGGCAAACTGCATTGCAACATAAAGTCAAAATAAAAAGCGATAAAACGGATTCAAACACGGCACCGCTTCGGTCGTGCTTGAAAAAACGCAGTAAGTGAAGGACGCAAAATAAAATAAAAATTTGTCATCATTAGCCTTTATTAGCTTAGTCATTATTTAGATAATCAGTTTTAGACATTTGTCAGTCAATGGTTAATAAATATAGATTTACTTGATGTGAATTAAACTTTTCATAACTATTCCATAAATAAATAAATAATTTAATGAAAATACTATTTGCGTTGCCAATGACAATCCTATAGATAATTTTTTAGCGATAGGGAGTAGAATAGTTTTGCCATCTGATGACTTAATTACCTTAATGAGTATATTCTTAATGAATTTTTAGGAGTTGTCACCTCCACATTCTACTATATTTTGTAAAAACTGTACAAAATAGATAATAGCTCTACTGAGGCTATTCGAGCAAAAATATTTTAACAGGATTAGAAAGATTTAATCGGTGAAGATATAATTTTTTTGTCTTTTTCTTATATGTAATTCCACCTAAATAAAAATACGCAATAGCTTTAAACGTATTCATCTAAATATTCTAGTGACTTTTAACTTATTATATACTGAAATTTTATTATTTTATTGTTTCAAGTTAAAAAAATACCATTTACTGACGAATTTATTCTTAAAAACTAAAATATTTACCGTTAATTTAGTTAAATATGCATATTTACTTAAATTGCAAAAAATCTAATTAAATATTTATATATTTATCAATTATTTAGTAATATCTAATCAGCACAATCGCTTATTAAGCAATTAATTATTTTTGTTGGTGTCTTCGTGTACTAATAAATTCCAATTAGATTTAATATTCAACGTTCCTTACGATTATAGCACATAAATAGTTTGAACAAGTATTTAGGTACTCATTCTTTGCATATCGTATTACAAAATAATTAATTTTGACATCATTCTTATTTAATAAAAAATTATTTTCAAATGTTTTAGCTAAACAAAATACTATTTTCAATGATATTTGAAACTATTTATTGTATAAACTTACTACTGAATTATTTTGTTTTATTATTGTAACTAATTGATATAAAAAATAAATGCATGAAATTTCAAAAAATAAAAAGAATTATTAAAAGGCCTTATATTAAATAATAATAACCGCTTGTATGGTCAGTATTATAATGTCATAAGCTATTAATATATTAGATAATATTTAATAAAATATTCTAATGTGCTTGTGATCGCTAAATAATAGATAATTGAAGCATGAGTGCTAAATTTCAAGAATTATGTTATAATTTACTGTTAAATGACATAAGTTTAAAGCTAAAAACAGTTTTACCATTAATATATTGGATGATGAATGTTTTGTTTATTTAAAATAATAAAAAGACAGTAAAAATAAATCTTAAAGTAATAAACATTACTAAACTGATTAAATTGATCAAAAAATACTTTCTTATATTTTTTTGTTTCTTAAACAATGATATTAATTGAAAAATGAAAAATGATATTATAACCATTAAGAAATTTTGCCACCTGAGTACTCAATTCTATCGCCCCCATTATCTTTTTATTTTTTTCTATTTTTTATTTAAATATATTAAAAATAATTTCTGCAGTTATAATTTATATTGTTTCATATTTTAGTGCTACCTAGAGTACTCCCATTCAGTACCGTTACACCTTATAGCGGATCTGATTTCATCATGTCATTATATGATTTATTAATTGATTGTTTAAATAAATACTTTATCCTTTAAATTTCTTATAATTTCATTCTTAATATTTATCATAAATAACAAAAATAAACATTATATTAAAATACTAATAAATGATTCAGAAAAATAAATCGAAAGTAAGATTTAATTTTAATAAATTAAAATAAGATTTATAAACAGAAATATATCATTTTCGATTATTAAAATAATTGCGATTCATATTTTTTTAATTAAATATAAACAAAAAGTTCTCTAGTATATATTACATTGTATTTTAAAATTTTCTCAGTGTTATGGGAACCCAAACCAAAATTTGTTTTGCTAGTTATTATCATACTTAGTTGTGAATTTACTTTATTTGTAAATACTATATTTGTTTTTATCTAGAAATTTTAAAGAATTGTGAAATAACTTTTTAGGTTTACCAAGTACTAGTAACTTGTTAACATCTGTTCCAAATTCGATTCAAGTACAAGAGGCTAACTATGCTCTAAGTTCTGCACCACAATCAATGAATTATCCATACTCTGAGGTGTGTAGTAACAATATGAAATATTTTTAGTTGTAAATAAAATTATTGTCATGTCTAGCTTTATCGTATGGCCTCTGGTCATCTTACACAGACATATCAACCATTAACTATTGGCACGTCGGTGTTGCCATCTGTTGGACCTTTAACTACCACAACTCCAGCACTTGAAACGGTCATGTTAGCTACAGGTCAACAATCTAGATTAACTCCTAAAGGACGAATTATGCCTGCTATACCCAGTATAATAAACGCTCAACAGGATATTGATTGTAAGTGAACTTTTAACTAAATAAATTAAGTTTTCAAATCCAATATGATACTTTTCCTTTAAACTTCAGATCAAAATAATATTATAAACGACGCTCTTGCTTTAAACATGGATTCAGCAAAACGCTTAGGGGAAAGACGAATGCCTGATATGTTGGATATTCCTGGTAAAGGACAATGTTACGTGTATTGCGCTAGGTAATTTAATTTCATATTATTCACGATTATGTAATATATGAATTATGTTAATATTTTAATAATACAATATAATAATAATATAATAGTATTGTATAACAATACTAGTTATTTTTTCACACAAATACTTTTTATAGGTTTACTTACGATCCTTTTTACTGTTCTCCTAATGAAAACTTTGAAGAAGAGCTTCCAATCACAGCCGGTGATTATATCTTAGTTTGGGGAAATAAAGATGAAGTAAAAAAAGACTTTTTGCGTTCATGAACAATTAAATATTTACATATTCATTATTTAGGACGGATTCTTTGATGGTGAACTATTAGATGGTAGACGAGGATTAGTACCCTCAAATTACGTTCAACAACTATATGGTAGAGATTTAGAGGAATTTTATCAATCAATGGTAGTAAGACTAAGAGAATGTGATGATAGCGCTACAACTACAGTGCCACAAAACATCGAATACATGCTTCCAGGTATAAAAAATATAACTATATTGACTCTTGCTTGAGTGATTTTAGATTTTTCCCTTTGATTTAATAGTGCTCTGAAAAAAACGTGTTAAGTTTAAAACACACAAATCATTTTTTAATTTTGAATTAAATACTCTAAAAAAAATCTTATAATGGAATTATAATTTAAATTATGTAATTAAAAAAATAGATCTTCTTTCATGGCCGACTCCAAGTAGTTGAGATAAAGGCGAAGAAAAAAAGAAGCACTTCTCTCAAGAACAATTTTTATTGAAAAAATAGGAAGTTTTCTTAAAAACTCAATTTTTTTTTTTAAGAAATTATATTTTTTCTAACGTAATCACCATCTAATTAAAACACGTAACAAAAATATATCTGATAAAATAAAGTTATATCTATTCATTTTTAAAAGTTTTTAAAAATTACCAGAACTATTTTACAATTTTATAGTAAAAAAGTGATTTTTTATCATTAAAATATAATGTGTAAATTTTCACTATTCATTACGAATTAATCTTTACAAACCTTCTTATTCAAATTACATGTATTACACAATCTGAAATCTATATTTTTTCAGACGAGCAATTAAAAAGACTAGCTCAACAAGAATACAATAATATGTTGGATGACTACCAAGAGGATGACAATGTGGATGATGATGGTATGGATATAATAGTAATTTATTTTTATTACATACAATTTTTGCTAGCTTTAAATATATTTCTCCTTGAAAAATAATAAAATCTTAAAATCATTATTTTAGATTTTATTTAATATGATTCTGTAAAAATTCTTATCCCGTAGCATAGTTAAATTTTACTATGATTTATCTATATAACAATTTCATATACTTATTTTGGCCTAAAAAACATTGAACCTAGCTAAATCACTTTATAAATCAACCTTAGTAATAACCTCATACCAAAGTTTAAAAAAAAAAAACAAATACCTTTAATTTAACTAGTTGAATATAAATTAATCACACTAACCAGCTAAATAGAATTTTTATACATATTAATTTAAGTATTAATATGAATTCAAACAAATTTTTATATTAATTATGAAAATATGATAATTATAGATGCAAAATTGATAGAACTTTCTCTAATATTAGAACATTTTATTTTTGATTATCTTTAAAATAATTTTGTCTTAAATTGATATACATGGAGTATGTTCTTTGTAAATTTTATTACATAATGAAAAATCGTCTTCTGGGAAAAAACAATTTATTTTAGTTTCATTATTAAAAAAAAAAAAAAAATTGTAATATGGTGATTGATACCTTAGACTAGTGCATGTAGAACTAGTGTAGAGTAATAGTGTATTGGTTGGGGGTGGAATTGTTTTTTCCGGTGGTCACTGTTAGACATGTTCTTCTCGCTGCTAGTACCGGCCCCGAAGCAGTTAACATTGGAAAGACAATTGAACAAAAGTGTACTTATTGGATGGAATGCACCTTCGCCTGAAGAAGGATGTTTACCGGAATCATATCACGTGTATGTTGATGGTAATTTGAAAACAACAATCAAGGCCACCGAAAGAACTAGAGCATTAGTCGAAGGAGTAGATTCTAATAAGGTAGTAACAACAAGACATTTAATTTTAAATTTATTATCAATGATTGCTGATTAGATTTTAAAAGTGAAATTTATAAATCTAAATATTTATAATTTTATTGTGGTATTTACAGCCTCATAGAATTAGTGTACGATCTGTGACGGCTAATAGAAGAACATCGAGAGATGCAGCTTGTACAATGGTTATTGGTAAAGAAAAAGAACTGCCATTAAGACCATCTCACGTAAAAGCAAGTCAAGTAACTTCCACGTCAGCTGTTATATCCTGGCTGCCTAGCAATAGTAATTTTCAGCATGTTGTTTGTGTAAATAACGTCGAGCTCAGAACTGTTAAGCCTGGAGTTTACAAGCACACAATAACAGGTAATAGTTAATTTTTTTATCCACAATACTTAATGTAATTTGTGTGTAAAATAGACTAAAAAAAAATTTTAAATGATTTTTTTAAGTAAAAAGTATTTTGCGATGTACTGTAGGTTTTTCTAGAACAAAATTTATTGAAATGAATATTCTTTATATACCATAGCATGATATAGTTAATATAAATGTTTAATTAAGTATTATAAATAATTATTCTGATTAATTACGCATTTTCATATAGCATTGAAATTCAATTTAACAAAATGTGTTATAAAAAACTTTATTCATATTGTAAATTGAGTCTTTTAGAAGTATTCAATAAAATAGGCATTGAATACTTGAAAAGCAATCACAAATAATAACTTTTATTGTGACATGATTTTATATTTTTTACAAAAATGGTAATTAAAAAAAAAACTATTATACAATTTAAATAAAAAAGTAAAAGATTAATCAAATATGATTTTTACATATTTAAAAAAAAAATCAAAATATTAATTGTTTTGTTATATTAAAAATTATAAAGAATTTTAATAATATTAACTTAATACTATCGTTTCTGGATTTCTGTAGGTTTGGTGCCCAACACTCTGTACAGGGTTACTGTCAGTGCTAAAACATTACGTGCACCAACATTTGATCAAAAAAGGACGACTACTTCTATGGAGAAATTTTCGACTCACATAAATTTTAAAACACTTCCCAAAGGTAAATTTTTTGTGGAAATTTTTATTTTTTCGCACAAAATTCAAAGCTCAATTATGAGATTTTTAATCACTTCTTTGCATTGTTTAAAAAAAAATTATTCAATTTCAATATTTATAGTTGTACGTCATCTACAATTTTTGGCTTTGCAAAATTACTTAACGATATTTTCAAAAAATATCCTGTTAATACTTTAATTGCAAAACTTAATTTTTTAAGAGAAAACTTAGTAAGAGAAAATTTTAAGAGTATTTAAATTATTAATAAATCTTTATTACTATTATGTATTTACTAAATTGCTTTATTTAATTTTATTGTGCTTGCATGATGCATACAGGCTGCAAAGGTAGATTATATAACATTTTGATTACTTATTGTATTCATATATATATATATATATTAAAACAAAACGCTTTATGAAAAAGGAGTATATATACTCAAGTGAATCGTTATTCCAATTTCTTTTTTACATTTTACAAATACAATACATTGACTTTTAATGTGTAATCTATTAAATCACATTTGTGACGAAAAACGTTTTAATCGTCCATATTTAAGAATATTTCATATTTTTTTATAAAGCGATTTGAATAAACTTGATTCATTAATAAGACTTAAATACTAAAAAAATATTAAGCATTCGTCATATCGTCACTTGAGGTGCAACGCTTGATACTTCGCCTTTTTATTCAAAATAAATTAACTTCACTATATGATAAAAAAATCAGAAGAATCAAATCACTGCTAAATTGTTTGGCAATATTATGCTAATATAAAACATTTTTTCAATTAATTCTCAAGATTGATAAATTAAGGTGTTAAGTGTTATGCCTTAATTGACTAGTTGTGACTAGATTTAACCTATTATATTTTCAAAATAACTTTAAAAATTCTATATCATAAACATATGTCTATAGTTCATTTATTACCATAATATAAAATTATTATATAGAAATTCAAGTACATTCATGGATAATGTTGTCTAATTAATACAGTCTATGGGTGTATTTTAGAAGTAATGCATTATTTAATAAGTCTTTTTTAAGATTTAGTAGTACATGAGATGTGTAAGGGTAAAACAAAATATCTTAGATTTATTGGTATCTAATAAATACTAATCAAATTTTTTTCTTAAAATAAAGTAAAATTTTTTAATGATTTAAATTTTAATAGATTCTTATTTATACAAAATAACTTAAGAGCCAAAAAATATAAAACTATTATTAACGATTATGAATTAAAATTAGTCATATAAATTATTTCTCTATTTAATAAAATTAATTTTAATGATAAAGACAAAATGAGTTTTCATAACATATTTAAAATATGAGTGTATGATAGAACTATTTTTTTAAATATTATTTTGAACAATTAATTCAATAATGTTTTAGGATTACCAGATCCTCCGTCAGAAATACAAGTCGAATCAGGTCCTCAAGATGGAACTCTGTTAGTAACATGGTTACCCGTGACTACAGCATTGAGTGATCCATCTAATCGAGGTTACATTACTGGATACGCTGTGTATGCTGATGGTAAAAAAGTGTCTGATATTGACAGTCCTACAGGTTAGCTATTTAGTTTTTCTGAATTTTACATCATACTTATTATTTTTTAACATAAATTAGGAGACCATGCTTTAATTGACATTACACAGATACTTAGCCTTAATCCTAGACAGGTGACTGTACGCACAAAATCAATAGATAATCAGTCACCAGATAGTATCCCAGTACCAATTCCTGGAGCAAAAAATAAATCTCCACACCACCATCATCACCATCATAAGGTAACATGATGTAAAAATACTTATAAACATTATTTTGTTACAAAATAAATTTTAAATTAAAAACAAAGGAGGAAGATAAAAGAATGAAGTATGGATCAGCAGTTCCTAGTCATATGAGACCACAGAGAAATGCTTATGGACAAGTTATTGTGGATACTGAAACGGAAAATCTTAGTGACAAAGAAATTTTTCCTGGTCAAATGAGTATACCATCAATAGGTATGTATATTTAAAGTTATTACGTAATTTATACAAAATGTATGAATATTTACAATTTATAATTTAACACAATTAGGACTAAGTTAGTCTTAATGTGTAGAAATAGTTAAATAAAACTTTGTTAAAACTAATTAAGAAATAATCATTAAATTTATATTTTATTTGTTACAATTTTTTATGTAATACTTAACAGAAGTGACAAAAGAATTTTCTGGAGAAGGAAATTACAGCGAAGAAGAATTTATTGAAAATGGTCGAGGAGCTAGACGGACACCTTCTACACACCCCCATAGACCAGCAGCGCCTACTCCACGTTCTAAGTCTCAACATCATACTCGTCATCATTATGATGAAAGGTACGTATAAACTATTTTCTATTTTATTGAATAGCTACATATACAGGGCGATTAACTAATCAATAAAAACTTAATTAATAAAAAAATAAAAATAATATTAATACATTTTTAATTTGTTTCGTTTAGTTCAATGTTTTTCTTAATGTATTATAAAAAAAATTGTATATTCATTATATAGAATATTCATTATTTGAGTGTCAACTTAAACTTTTGAAATTACATCACACTAAATTAACTAGCTTATTTATTAGATAATGGTCTAATTAAAAAAATAACTGGTCGATAACAACTTTTGAATTAATATTTCGAAATTTATTGACATATTAATATCTAGGTGAGAAGAAGAGTACGATCGGAAAATGTGAAGTTATAAAAATAGCATCACTTCCTCTTTACCTCCAGTAATTATATTAAATTGTTAATATCCGAAATACTGGTCCAAAAATTACTATTGACCAACATATCCCTTATATCTTATCGAAGGTATAAGGAATAAGTATAAAAAATGTTTTATTGTTGATATATTGAGAAAAACAATGAACTAAAAGAAACCAATAAAAAAAGTTATTAAGTTGTTTATGATAAGTGAATAACCCTGTGTATGTTGCCATCATAAATAAATATGGATGATACTCTTATAAGGTATTTGAGATGAACCGAAAAAGAACTATATTTTTAGTAAATCAAGACGCACATATGACTAAAAAACCAAAAAATAGTGATAAACGATAAACGATTCATTCTATATGTGAAACAATTATATTATTTAAACGATAAAATTAATTATTTAAAAAATGTTGATAAAAAAATTTATGTATTCACCCTATAATTTCTTTCTTATAATTCGAAAATATTTCAAATAATTTTTTTTGTAATTTGAGAACTTAAATTTAACTAATTTTTACTAGATTAAATATGATGAATTTTAAATATAGTTCTAATATTAGTTTTTTTTTTACATAACATAGGGAACCATCATATTACCAAAATGAAAAACCCATAGAACCTAAAATGAAACACGGAACTGTTACTGTTAGTAATAGTGGTGTTGATCAGCGAGCATACAGAGGACGAAATACAGACCCTAGACAAGCTGGATATCAAAAAACATCAAGAGATAAACGACCTAGATGGGTTGTAGCTATTTATGATTATGATCCAACCACTATGTCTCCTAACCCTGATGTTTGCGATGAAGAACTACCATTTAAAGAAGGAGAACATATTAAGGTTTGAATTTACTTGCAAAAATTTACAAAATTATTCATATAGATTAATATTAACATTTTTTTTTCTAGATTTATGGAGATAAAGACCCTGATGGATTTTATTGGGGTGAGAGCAGAGGAAGATTTGGATATGTTCCTCATAATATGGTCATGGAATTATCCGATGTTCAAAAGGTTTATTTAAGAATTTTTAAATATCCTAACAAATTATCATTGTATTCTATTTTTTTTTGCTTAAAAGTAGCATTAATAAAAATATTACTATATTATATATATATTTATATTCTTTTTTAAATTTATTTTGTTTCTTACAAAATAATTAAAATCGGATATTATATGTTCAAAACTTAAATGTTGTACTATTTTACCTTTAGGGTCCAGATAATAGAGGTAGAAAAGATGATCGTTGGATTGATCCCTACTCGGGTCCTGTAAAAAAAATGGTGGCACTGTATGATTATGATCCTACAGAAAACTCACCTAATGTTGATGGAGACGTAAGTATCATTTCAAAGTAGAGAATTTAGAATTTACTCTGTAAGATTTATAACAAATAACTATATAAAGGGCTATATATATTATTTCAACTATGTATGATTTTTATAGCAAGTTGAACTTCACTTTAAAATGGGTCAAACTATATTTATATATGGTGATATGGACGATGATGGTTTCTATCGGGGTGAATGTAATGGTATTAGAGGTTTGGTACCCTCCAATTTTTTAATGGAAGTAGGTGCTGATTATGGCCCTGAAGATACAGTTGGCTCCCAACAGTCTAAAAATCAAATAAGACCTTCGCAGCATCATCATCAGCAACAAATTCAACAACAACAAGATATTAGAGGTCATGGACCAGGAGCTCGTGGTCCTCCCCCTCCCCCACGTGGTATTGACCAGCCACTTAAACGAAAAGGTATGTAATCTGTGAACATTTTATCACCCGAAAATTCGCCACAACAAAGAGCTAATAGCAGCTCAAAAGTACACATTAAAATATGAAATAATTATTTATTGAAATCAAGATCATATACACAAAAAAACCATTCATATACTCTGACGGTGGGTTATTTTTATCGTTGCCAAAAAGTTTATTCTCTGTTTAAAATGACTCGATAATATACAATAATTAAATTTCGACACTGAGGTCTTTATTAAAACATGCATTAACACTATTATACACAAAGCTACTTCTTTGTTTTATTTATAAATACAATTAAAATCTTTTTGATTTTTGCCTGATCACTTCAGCAGCTTATTTTATACATAAATGTATAAACTTTTAATAAGCCTATTAATTTTGTTTTTTATATTAAAATTCTCAGTTTTTGTATTTATGATTTTTTCTTCGAATATTGATGCAATGTGCTTTTTATTTATGTTTTTGTTTGTTTGTGATGAACTTGAAGTCTAATGGCAACATTTATAATTTTAATGCAATTTTTGTGTAATTAAATTTGTTTTAACATTAAATGAAGTTGTTTTGAAGAGTCGAAATATAACTGAATATTAACCGAAAAAGAAACATAATGACTCATATGAATTAATTTACTATTGTTTTTTATTAAATAATTCTATTAAAACTCACTTAATTAATTGTTTAGTTTAAGATTTAATTATGCTTTTAAAAAGGGACTGAAACCGTTCGATTTGTTTGCAGTTTTGCTTAGAAAAACTGGAAAAAACTATTTAAATCCCTGTTTTTAAATTAATTTTCTTTACTATATTGCATTGATACTGTGACATCATTTGAAGGATTAACTACTCTTATTTTAAAAAAGTAAAACGTCAAATTAATTAGTCGTCCGTAAAAACAAAATTAATGTGAAATATTTTATATAAAAAGAAAACTTTATCATATTTAAACAACTTTAATAATAAATTAGTCACAATATTTGAATTTTGAAGTATTAATCTCTATTTATTAAATGTTGAGAAAATCTAGATAATTAATGAATCTTTCTTATCTAGATAGAAATAATGTTATCTTTTATTTTAGCTAGATGACTTTATAAGTGGGTGTTTAAAAGTCATTTAAAAAAATCTAAAAGGTTTTTTGTTATCTAGATATTTTATTAATCTACAAAAAATGAGATATTCAATAGTATTAGAATTTATAGATCTTTTCCAAAAATTATTTTATCATACTTGGTACACTTTTACATAACACTATAAAACCATAACCCACACATTTCTGATGATATTATACTTACACGTGTATATTAATTTTAATTAATATTCTTGTCATTTTCAGATAAATCGATTAGCAAAAAATATATCATAGTCTTATTTATATAATAACATAATTTGTATTTATATTATACCATAAAACCTGGATAATTGTGTCTGTGATATTTATACACAAAATAGTTATTGGTAAATAATTGTATTGCTAATAATATAAGATAGTTTAGCCCCGATGCGAAGCTAAGAAGGTATTAATTTTACTATGATGTGTTTTTTTTTTTTGTCTGTTTATCACTTATTCTCAGCTCTCAACGACCGATTTCTTTCAACGATACGTCAAAATATCACTAATCATATCTAGTCGAAGATATTTCCTTCGAAAATTTAGAAAAATTTCCCTCGTTCCCCGTAAATGTGGGAAATTTAAAAAAAAAATAAAATTTAAAAATTGCTAATTTTCGACATTTTTTCAATTATTTTTACTTAAAACTGCCATAACTTTTTCAAAATCACAACTTTTTCAATTTAACTTTTGAAAATGTTCTAGAAATACTGACACTTTTATATATACTTAATTTAAAGCTTTATGCGCACAATGGACCAACAGGTCTGAGTGCATGGGCATTATGTCCACCTCAATAATAACTAATTTAAAGCTTATCTAATATACTTTATTATGGAAAAAAAAATTCGGACTTTAGTTTGTTTTCATAGTGAAAACTAACTTCAAAGTTAATAAAAAAATAAGATTTTTGTAAAAAAAATTTTTTTTTATTTTTAATTTTATAATGCTATAACTTTTGAAAAATATATGGATCAATACATTTTTTTTATGATAAATACTATTTATATACCTCTTTCATTCGATATACTTTTTTTTTTAATAAAACCATTTCCCATTAAATATTTATATACAGGGTGATTTTTTTATCATAACCCACTCAATTACTTGCAGAATAATAATAATTTAAACATTTTTTTTTTCATTATCTTTAGTTACACATTATTCTTGAATTTTTAACTATGTAATATTTTTTAAGTTCATCCCTTATGCCTTGGAGGGGGGTCAACTTTGTTTTTTTAAATGGTAACACATATTTTTAATTTAATAAAATGTTTGAGTTTTTAATTTAATAGTAAATGGAATTTGAATTTTTAATATAACTTAATTCGTTTATTAGATATAATCATTTAAAGTTTCAAATTTTTGANGTTTATTAGATATAAACATTTAAAGTTTCAAATTTTTGAGTTAATATATAGGTATAATACACAAGGGATTACAAATACAGGTAGCTAATTGGTTTTTTATGATATTGCTATCACAGTCACGGATTGTTTATTATCAATTATGACTATCAATAGATATACTTTTTGTATTGTCAGTTAGTGTATTTATAAACTCACAACAATGTACCTTACTATCATTGATAATAACAATGCTGTGTACCTGCTAATATCGATGTCATAAAAAATCAATTAGCTACCTGTATTTGTAATCCCTTGTGTATTATACCTATATATTAACTCAAAAATTTGAAACTTTAAATGTTTATATCTAATAAACAAATTAAGTTTTATTAAAAATTCAAATGCCATTTATTATTGAATTAAAAACTCAAACATTTTATTAAATTCAAAATATGTGTTACCATTTAAAAAAACAAAGTTGACACCCTTACCAGGCATAAGGGATGATCTTAAAAAGTATTACATAGTTAATAATTCAAGAATAATGTGTAACTAAAGATAATAATAAAAAAAATTTTTTTAATTATTATTATTCTATAAGTAATTGAGTGGGTTATGATAAAAAAATCATCCTGTATATTATAAATATATTTATTCATATATTACACTTATAAATCATAAAACTTGTAATCAGGATATAAATAAGGATATAGGAGATCATATAGCTTTTGGAATAATCCGTATAAATAAACCGTCATTATACTTGACCCAACTATGTCACGTCCCCACTGTGCTAGGTTGGGTTTTTATTTTTGTAACTATTAAATAGAGAAGATGGTTTAAATAAAATTTGGGCTAGTAAATAACCAATTTTGTAATATTTCTTTTTGAGATATTAGCAATTGATGTAAGGAAAATATTAAGAAAATTTTTTAGTAAATGAAAAATGGAATTTATTTGGATTTTATCTAGATAAAAGAAATATTATTTTATCATTCATCTAGATAATTTTATAACTAAATAAATTTATCTTATCTAGATGATTTTTTGATTATCTATTCCCAACAATGGTTGTTAAATATGAACTGAAATTAAATACTACAAAAGGAGATATTAATATATGTATGTATAAAAGTGTTATTAACTTGAGAAAAAATTAATTAATTTTATTAATAAAAGTTTAATACTTTGTTATATATTGTGAAATAAAAAAGATCGTAAATTACAATCGAAGTTTTTGATATTTCTGAACATTATAATTACGATAATTTTAACAAAAATAACAATGATAATAAATATAACGTTACTGCTTTAATACTATTTTCCATTATGTAATGTTAAAAAGTGTAGTGAAATTTTCAGTTATGGTAAATTAATGACGAACTATTTTTACTTCATTGCAATTATTTGGAAAAACCTATCAACATATTTTATTTAGATGAATAATTTTTCTGTTATCTGCAACTAGAACGGCCTAGGTGAAAAATCTATTCCGGGAAATAATTTTGTTCGAACCATATTTTACACAATAACATTTTAGCAACTTATGCCACCGGGACTCTCCAGATAGCCCAGTGGTTCAGGCTGTCCCTTAACTGAAGAATACTAATTTAGTCAATTATTTTTTAAAGCAATAGATTATAATTTCAATTTTTCCTTTTTAAAATAAGCTAAACTACACAAATCTGAATATTAAATATATTTGTTATATATGATAATAATATTGAGTTTAATGATAATTTCTTTCGATTGAAAAAATAATTGTAACTACTTAAAATGCATGTCACAATATTGATCTCTATGTGTGCTTTAAATTTTTCTTTACGTTATTATTTTATATATAAAAACTAATTAATAAATTATAACCATATTTTTTGTTTCTTTTAGAAACGTTGATACGATTGGCTTAAAAAAAGTTTTCATTATTATGAATTTTTACAACGATATGACCCACCTTCATTGTGTTCCAAGCATGTGAAATGTTTTCTCTACACACACAAACAAAATCTCCTAACGGAAACATTACTCATGTATTCAGTAATTTTTTACTTAAAAAATTATTTGAAACAGTAGTAACATTTTCGTTTAGGGAAATTCTTATAACTCATTAAAATAAAATAATAATAATAATTCAATTGTTATTAACTATCTCATGAGATGAAACACAGTTTGAGCATGTTCTGTGATTGGTTTTTCCCTTTTGTTTTATTTTGTTGTGGTTACATTTTTTTACCAAAATCATAACAAACCATATATTTATTTTTTCTGTATGTTGTTCTATCTTTTTGTTTTTCTATCTTTGTTCTGTTCGCTATAGATGCCTGCCTTCCGCAATATGATTATCACCAGGTGAGTGCGTGTGAGCTATTATTTTTACCAATCAATAATTTTTCTTCGATACAAACATTTGAACACATTTATAACTATACATAATAATATATTTTACACTGGCACATTTTGTACGCATAACACATTACAATATTATAAACAACTATATTGTAATTAAGTTATGCTATAATTTAATACTTAAAATATTAAATCGACAATTACATATTCTAATAACTTAAATTTTTATAAAATTATGACATCAGTTTTATCTATCTAAAACGAATTTTACAAAAAACAGACACATCATTGTCTATTGTTCTATAAATAAATTCGGCAAATTTGCTTTTATTAAAATTAATAAAATAAATTATTCTAAAATGATAATTTATTATTTAGTATTTAACGTAACTAAATTATTATAAATCATCAATCCAAAATTATTTTTATTTCCTTTTTAATAAGGCAAAGATACAAATTTTTCTATGTAAAATTCTATACAGTTATATATATGTAATAATAATAATATAAACTAAATATTAAATTAATAATAAAATAAACTGACAAGATCATTTTAAATTATTATTCTAAGTTTTATTTTTACGTCCACTCTTACTTGATCATAAATGTTAAATAAAATTATTCTATTAGCCGTTACCTAGTAATTTAAAATTTTTCTTTTGTGCATTATATTTTATTTTAAAAAACTTGATTGTCAGTATTTATTCAAAATAATTGTCGATTTTGAGTTTATTTAATTAAATTTGTTATAAAATCTATTTAAAAAAGACCGGCTATGAGTGTGTAGTGATTTGAATTGTTGTGTACACATAACAAATTATCATATTTCTTTTAAACAATGAAATAATAATAAAATTATTTTAATATTTCCATCAGTTTTATTTTATCACTAATAAAATAATATGAAATAAATACTTTTGTATATTATTCTTCATCATCCATGTAGAATAGGCCTGATTTCTATGGACTATTTTGTGAAGCAATCTGCACGGCTATTATTTTACAAAAAAAACTTTATAATTAACTCTAAATATTCTTGATATACAGGGTGATCGAAATCTGGTAAAACACTTATTTTCTCAGAAACTATTGAGAATTTAAAATTTTTGCCAAAAGAAAAATTATTAAGTTTATAAAACTACAATAATATGAAGTTAAATAAATTTTTTTTTTTTATCTCTTCAGGGATAAAAATGTGTTATTTATAATTTTTTTAAATGGGAACCACTATTTTTGATTTGATAATATGATAGAAAAAAAATTACAAACAATTTTGTTCTTATAATTTTTTTTATCCGAACAACCGTTTACGTTTTATAATTGTTTAAAGATTTTGACTTCCAGAAAAAATATTGTCATTTATTCATAATATCATAAATATTGTCATTTATTCATAATTCATAATATCGGTGGCAGTGCAACCGGTATTTTTGTTAGATCCTTTTGTCTTACAAAACCATAGACTTAGCTATTAATAATACACCGAAACCCCGGTTTGAATCTATTATTGTTATCACTCATTTAATGCGTAGTAAATTTTTATAGCTAATTTACCTGTTATAACTTGATCAATAAAATTTGGTTTATGCAACAGCAAATAAAAATGTATGTACTTCTGTATTTAATATAGTAAAATGACAATAGAAATTTGGCCTAAAATCACTTAACTTTAACAAGCTGTTATGGACGAATTTTTTTTTATATCGTATTATAAAGTTAAAAATAAGGGTTCCCATTTAAGAAAATTATAAATAAGGGTTTTTATCTTTGAAGAGACGAAAAATATAATGGTTTGACTACATATTATTGTAGAGTTTTTGGAACTTGATATTTTTTCTCTATAATAAAATTTAAAATTCTCAATATTTTCTGAGAAAATGAGTGTCTTACCAGATTTCAATCACTCTGTATAAAAAAAGTGCCTAAAATTCAATAATAATAAAATGGATTCATTTAATACAATTATTAAATTTATATTGCAAATAATTATTGACTGCTTTGTATACAGATGTCAGCGGTGGAAGCGAGGGAGAGAGGAGATCCGTACGAGAGGAGAGATGGTAGAGACGGGTTGACAGGCTATGGCCCGTCGCAAACAGGCCAACAGAATAGTACATCGGGTAAACTGTTCAAAGGCCTAGCGAATGTTGTGCCTGACTTTGGCTTAGGCAACCGTTCGCATGATAATCAACAACATCAACAGCATCAGCAGCCAGCTGGTGGAACATCTAGCTTCATGCAGAAACTCAACGACCTCACACATCATAACAACGCCAATCAACCAACAAACGCGCAGCAACATCAACAACAACAACAACAGCCCGGTGTAGACAATATTCTATCCAAAGGCAAAGAACTTATTTTTATGAAGTTCGGTCTAGGAAAATGATGTTTAATGACGACTATTAACGCGGTAGCGTTCGACGACGGTACTCACACTACCACAACCACGGTGATTAATGCTCTTATTTTTTATTTTCACATTGCCAATTGTTAAAATTATTTTCATTGTAAAAAATTTCAATTATTTTATATTTAAATAACAATAACATTTTGCTAACGACTTCAGAAAACTCTGTTTTGAACCAGCGTTAATAGTCGGCTAATAAAAACAAGTAGTGTTAGAAAAAGAAGTACTATTATAATTGGTTATTAATATTATTACATACACAACTATAGCAAAAACTATCTTTTTGGGCGTTCACTGCCCTTATTTGTCTGTTTATCGTTGTACTTACTATTATTGTTGACTTCCATATAAAAATTCTTTTTATATATTAATATAATATCAAATCATATAAAAATATTAATCACTTGTTCTAATAATACTTGTACTTAAACTTGTCGCATAGTGTATAATGTGTTATCATACTACGTTGTAAATATAGCAATACTTAGTTATTTAATACACTACAAAATAATATCGTTTAATAATTTAATAAACAATAAATGATATATATATATATATATATATATATATATATATTATATATATTATAACGAATAAATGCAGTATTACATTTTTTCAATTATTTAATTATTACTTCAGAATATTAGAGCCTAAATATCATTGTATTATAGTACACAAGTTGGGGCTGTTATTTAAACAAATAATTTTTTTTTTTCTTACTTATTGAAAATTGACTGTTTTAATACATGTATCATATTGTTTATATGATTTACTAAATATATTTTATAAATAATTAGTTAAACAAACAAAACATAGATTTCAGGTCAATTTGAAATAAATATTTTAGTGACTGAAAGTTTGTAATAAAATGGAACCATAATTAGGTCTCTATTATATTATTGGTCAAACACAAGTAGTTGGGATTAAGGCGAGGAGAAATAAGGTCTTTATTATATTAGTGATATGAAAAGAGAGAAAATTTTTTACGTGATGTAAATATGAATTAAAATCTTCAAAGTATTTTCTAAATATTTTTATAAAAAAATAAGAATATGCTAAAAAAAAATTATAAAAACTAGAAATATTTTATTTTTATTTTGAAAAACGAAGAATTCAATTTTATATTTATTTTTTTAAACACAATTAACACCAATAGTTGTATGTATAATTTTTGTCGTTATCATTCTTCATTATATTAATTTAATATGATATAGCATCAGATACTTGTTTTTCCCGTTTAAATTATTTTGGCTATTATATATTTTCATAATTTTTTCACAAAACATTTTTTTTTATAGAAAATATTTAAGTTCGAAAATAATAAACATATTCTCTCAACTAACGTATATTTTTAAGGCAATTATAAAATGAGTTCAATAATATAAAAATTAGGCTAATTATTCTTTTAACATATAAAGCTGTTAAAATAATAAAAAAATGTTTTTTTCTCAGTGATTCTCGATTTTTTTATTTTTCTTGATACATTATATAGTCAAAAAAATCTATAGAAACTTAAAATTCTTTTTTCTAATCTATAATAATCAGAGATAAAAATGAAAAATAAAAAGTCAATGAAAATGGTGTAAATGAATAATTTAAAAAACGTACATCATATTAAAAGTTTGATGAATTATTTTTATTAATTCCTCAAAACTTGCCAAATCGCATTTTTAAATATTCTATCACATAAGTGTATTACGTAGAAAAAGATCTTAAGTAAGTTACAATGTACTTTTATTTCATTTATAAGTAAAAACCTGTCTACATTAGACGGGCTTAGTACCATAGGCTCAAAAAAAAAAATCATATTAATGTCAGTCTTTCTTGAGTTGTCAATTTACAGGTAAAAAGTACTATAATCTCATAAAATAATACATTATTGTCAAACAATTTTTATTAATATGCATCATTGATATGAAAGGAAATTGAATTTCTAAAATATATAAATATTGAATACATATTTTACTTGTAAATTTGTGTTATTTACAGATTTAATACATGAAATTGTTAAATGTTAAATAAGCGAAAAAACTACAAAAAAATTGTGGCCCATGGGGGGATCGAACCCACGACCTTCGCGTTATTAGCACGACGCTCTAACCAACTGAGCTAATGGGCCAGATGGTAAATGAGTTGAATACAAAATTATTTAACAATATTTTTCATAATGTCAATCGTAGAATGATTTTACATAATTTTGTGACATACTATTGTTGCATGTAATATATTTGTATAAAAAAAAATTACCATACAATTAGTGAGGGTAGTGGGGCTATTCTCGACGAAAAGAAATAAAATAGGGCTAAATATTTAGTATGTGCCCGAAAATTATAAACTTGATTATACTGGATTCTATGTATAATATGCAAGTTAGTGCCTGTGTAGTCGTCAAAGTGTTTATATATATTTGTCTTTGCTTAATATATTATTTTAATAGGTTATAATAGTATCAATTTGTTTAAAGTGCATTAGATATTTATTTAATCCATATTAATATAGTTGGGTTAATAATTTAATGCAATAAAATAACTTATTATCAAGGTTACGAAAAACAGTTTATTTTAAATAAAACAAAACAAAAGCTATTTGTTGAAAACTATACATTTTATTAGAAAAACAGTCGTTAAAACATTTTTCCAAGTTTTTAAAATTTTTGTTTTTTTTTATTTAAAAAAAATTTATTGCAATTTTGTATATATATTTAAAAACAGTTTTTTATTAATAAAGTATCACCTTCAGAAATTTTAAAAAAATACACTCAATTTTTCTTTTGAAAAAAATATCTTGAAATACGGCAGCATTAATTCGTCTTTGATTTATTTGATTTTATGTTGTAAAATATAAAAAATAATAACACATATTTGGTCTATTCATTTTAATGTCATTTTTAAAATTTATACATTTTTATTATCTTTTTTATAATTTGAGTATTATTATACTTTCTTAAGTTTACTAATACAATAAAAATATCAAAAATTTTAAATGACGAATTTCAAAAAAAAATATTTTTAAACTAAGAAACGTGTCTAAAAAATTCAAAAACTCACATTAAAAAACGAGTGATTTTAGTGTGTACACTGAATGAAGTTTTAATATGATCTATAAGTATACATAATTATCTATATCTTGATTGTTGAACTAAATATAAAAATATTTTTTAGTCTCAAATTTTTTTTTGTTATGTTTGCAAAAACATTGTATGTGTTTTGACTTCATAAAATATTTTTATTGTGGTACTAAAACACAAAATCAGCAAAATAGTATTTAAAATTCGAAATATGCTAATATATGCAACATAAAATATCGTATTGAGTATACGTTATAAATATTAAAAAAATTAGTAAATTAATATATTATAATCATATATACAGTTATTATATTATGTTTTAACTATTATAATAATATATATTTTAATAAGAGATTAAAACTAATAACAAACAATATATTAAAGATATTATAGACAAAGTATAAAACAATAAAATAATAAATGATATATAAAAAAAACCCATCACAGTGGGGTCGTGGCATAGTTGGGTCCAGTATAGATGATATCTGACAGTGATTAAAATCACTATCATAAAAAACGTTTCGATGCAAATCTGTAGATGTTTAATTTAAAAAAAAAAATTGTCAAAAAAGCAGGTCAAATGAGAGCTGAGAAAATAAATGATAGCTACAAAAAAAAAACCACATAGTAAAATAATATTAATATGAATTTCTTCTCACGAGAGGAGACTACAGTAATGGAATCCTTGATATTTATTGAAGTTATTGAATCTAAATGAGATAAAAATCAAATGAGTTAAACATTTTTTTTTAACTCAAAAAGAATTAAAAAAAAAATTCAGTGCCACAATCGTGAAAGACCCAAGTGTTACCGTCTCAAAAACCGTACGTCTCATTCGTCACTTAATAAAAATGGAAATTTAGCTAGTTCAAATTTTAAAGTTATTTTTTTCGACTTCAAAGAAACAAAAAAATTTTAATATGATTAATTTTTATACTATGTCATTTAGATTGATATAATATTTAAGAAATTAGTGTAATCCCCTTATAATAAAATAAAATACAAAACCAAGAATTTTAACACAATAATAGCATATTTTTGAATACGGTAGCCATTTGCGCATAGAAGATAGGTCGTCAGGACAAATTTTTTTTTTTTATTTTGTAGTACATAAAATAAGCTTTAATTTGATATATCTTTAAAGGACGCAGTATTTCCGGAACATTTTCAAAAATTAAGTTGAAAAAGTTAGTTTTTGTAAAAAAGTTGCTATTTTAAATCCCCCCCAATAAGCAGGTTAAGTGTTAGATTTTCAAAAAAATGATATCAAATGAAAGGGAAGTATCTAAGGTTTTAGTATAAAAAAAAATTATGTTGATTTGTTTATTTTTGAAAAAGTTATGGAAGTTTTAAGAAAAAAAAGTGAAAAAAATGACAAAATTTACTGATTTTTAAATTTGTAATTTTTTTGGATATTTCCCCCATTTGCGGTGAACGAGGGAAAATTTTTCAATTTTTAAGGGTAATGTTTTCAACTAGATACGATTTGTGATTTTTTGACGTATTGTTGAAAGAAATCGGTTCAGGGAGAGCTGAGAAAATGTGGCAACAGACATAAAAAAAAAACACATCATGGTAAAATGGCATCGAAGCTTAAAGAAAAAACGTAATAATTAATTGGCGCATGGGGGGATCGAACCCACGACCTTCGCGTTATTAGCACGACGCTCTAACCAACTGAGCTAATGGGCCGATGAGTTGTCTGCCGCTAACTGAGATCATTTGTTTAAATATGATTTTAAAAAATTTTGTCTCAATATTATTGTGAATTAAATAATATAAGTTATTAGTGAATTACTTATAATTAATATACATAAATTTTATACAAAACTTATTAGGATTTTATAGAGAAAAACATGTCCCTTTGATGTTGGCTGGTCAAAAACAGTTCTCGGTTTTGATATAATTGAGACAACAAATATATATAATAAAAATATATATATAAACAAAACTGTTTCAATATTTGAGATATTTGAAAAATTAAAATGCTTATGCATTTTAATTTTTCCATTAATTATTATTTGCTGACAGGGCTGTATTATTCATCAGGCACTATAGAAATTGTTACTTGGGCCTACAAATTTACTTTAAAGACCTGTTAAATAAAAAAACAATGTCAGATGAATTTTAAATGAATTAAAAAAGATATACCTTAAGCAAAAAACAAAAAATTTCAATTTATTCATGGACTCTACGAATAGCTTAATTTGGCCCTACTGTAAGACTTTAAGTTAGGTAGAATAAAGGATCATTATCTACATACCTCTCACGTAGAACGGTCAAAGTTGTGTAGGTTTAATAGTCTCCCATACAATGTATTATATTTTTTATTTAGCCTTGATATAATGGATTTGCTTTAATATATACTAAGGAATAGGAATTGTATGAATCTATTCCAAATTCTACTTAGATCATACATAGATGTAAAAGTTTTTGGGGTTGACTCATTTACTGATTTTGTTAGCGTAATACCATCATGAGACCCTTTGCTTTAAGAATATAATATTGAATTTTCGGGAGAATTGCTTCTATGGTACAATTACCACATATCATTATGATTTAAAATCATATGATTTATGATTTATATCATTATGATTTAAAATAATATTTTTCGAAATATAACTTTAATTAGTTGACGTCTAAAAAAAAAGGGGGAGAGATAGGTTTTTGATGTGATCAGTTAATGATCAAAAAAATTTTAAGGAGAGCGTAAAATTAACGTATTTGTTTTATCATAAATTTTATTCTCTATTAGTTAAAAAATAATGATCTTATAATGGTGTAATACTCAAAAATGTAGAAAAAAATTAATGGCCCATGGGGGGATCGAACCCACGACCTTCGCGTTATTAGCACGACGCTCTAACCAACTGAGCTAATGGGCCCACATGTTCAACAATGGAAAATAAGATAATTTTTTCTTGATGCACTGGTAGAATTTTATTTCCTTGTCTAATTAAATTCAACATTCAAACAACATAAATTACACACTTTTACATATGTTTCAGTTACGAAATGTTTCATCCAAGAATATTATAATATTCTACAATAACTATAATTATAGTTATACGTTATAATAGCTTTTTTAATTATAGAGAAAATAAAGGAAACTACATTTTTTTTAACTTTGGTAAATAAAAATTATATTAAATACCTTTGAATGCTAGGAATCATATTGCAACATCATGTATAAGAGGTCATTTTTATTCGAAAATTTACCTGGTTATTGTATCAAGCATTCACATATATAATTTCACCAAAAAATGATTATATGTAATGTTGTACTGTTACATGTCATAATAATGTTACAATATAGTAAATAATTTAAACAAATTCTTTGTAATTCGATCAAGCCCGTGTCGAACTTTTAGCCTTTTTGTATAAAAGCAATTTTGTTCTCCTTGAAAATTTCTATTGTTTTTTTTATTAAAGGTATTTTAATTTACAATAGACTGTACATCATAATTTTAGAAAAAAAATTTGCGTATCAATGTCACTCCTTATTTACGAACATTTATGTCTATTGCATACCTTATACACTTAGTGTGGTCATAAAATAGATTGTTTCAAGATTTTATATAAAATTTTATTAATTTATCATTAAATTGTTTGCCATGTGAATGAAAAGTAGTTACTCGTATTAATATTTTAACATTTCAGCCTTTTTACCAGATTTTCAGTTGGTGAATAATTAGTGGAATCATTATCAATGAAGAAAAATTGTAATAACTTTAGGATTATTCTATGGGTAAAATTTATTTATTTGATCAGCAATAGCAATAGCTACTAATTTATGGAATTATATTAAGTCGTTCTTTTGTATATAACATGCAAAACGTCAAACGCGAGACTTGGATAGTTAATGTTTGGCGGTATGGGTGTGGCTAGACGATGATGCTCGAGCTATCAGATGTTCGGACGCCTTATCAGGTCGCTATATTCAAAAACAATGTACTGTTGTAAAAATAAATAGGTTGTTTCTTTTTGTATGATTCAGTAAAAATCTTTGTATAGGTTTTGTTTTAAAATACATTGTTCATGTTATTGTAGGGAATTCGTATAGTTTCTTATTACATTGTTTGAAATATTATTGTAATACAACTGGAGGTAGTATATAAATTAAGTTATAGTTAATTTTATTCAAATAGCACATACACTTTTGTGTAAATAATTTTAAGTAACATGGATGATTATATTTCTAAATAGTTTAACTTATTAATAATTAAAATCAATGTTTGTATTAATTTTCTTATCAATGACTAAAATACAGCTAAGTTGATTTTGGTCAACTAATTTACAAATAGAACAAACACCCTTTTTCTAATCAGTTGTTTGTATTAAATTATTTATTTGTATGTATGAAATTGTACCAGCTATTCTTTTTGTTGATAAAATATATTTATTTATTTTGAAAATTTTACATAAATCAGTAACTATTTATTAGTAATCAGTTGACCTTATTTTAAGCCGTATGACAAGGTTTTATTCCAGCCTTTTTTTTAGTTTCGTTTTTAAAACAACCTAAGGGTCAAACAATTGTTATGATATAGATTGTTTTTATGAAAATAAGATAAGAAGGTTATTAAAGGCAGTGCCTATGAAATTAATATTCTTGAATAAATTAACGGGAAATATTTTAAATCTTTATTAATTAATAGTTTTCAATAAATCTTATAAAGCCACATTTTGGTTATTTTTTTTTAAATACGTTAAGTGACCAGTTAAAAAATTTTTGCGCTTAAAATTCCACCAAATATCTTTTTTTTTGTATAATATATAATTAACAATCCATTAACAATTTAAAGATCAACCTTTCTTGCGTCACCTATTATTCATATACTTATTAAATATTAAAATGTAGAAAATATAATCAATCAATTTAATAATTTTTTTTAAGTTTTAAATATAGAAATATTTTGCTTCAGACATTAATGTGTTATGTGTTGTATTGCTATGCATATTTTAATAGTTATATTAAACAATTTTTTAATCATAGTTAGTTATACGTCAAATTTAAAATATTTTATTCATTATAAAAACGGAATTATACAGTATTATAAATTATTAAAATAACATTTCAATAACTTTGATATAATGTATCTTTATTTTCAGGTTATATCAAATTTTTAAGATCAAAAGTGTTCAAGTTATATTAAATATCGTTTAGGTCGCCGACATTTTCCTTAACAAAAAACAGACGAAGCAAAAATTTTAATAATATTTTGAAATTCTTACACTATATTTTATTGTATTATCGTTATTTAACAAAATAACTTAAATATGTTCGTTGTATATAATACTGATTTTGGTTTTTTTTTGGTTTATATGCCTCATAAGATTATAACTTATAACACATATAAATACACAAACAATTTACTGATTGAAATATTTACTAAACCAACGATAGTTTATAGTATAGTATATTATCACTTGCCACTGTGTTTAAAATAAAAATGATTCTTGGAAATATTTTTATTTTTACTATATATAAGTTCGGGTTAGTTAAATGTATTTAAAGACTGCCGTATCATAATAGGATGTTAAATAAAAATAGAAACTCTCAACTTTTCTATGAGTAAAATTTTATCCTATAAATATTAAGTGTATTTTATTTTTACCACAAAAGGTATATTTAATTGAGGCGTTTGTAGCTAAAGGCATTAAGGAAACAAAAAAATTGGTTCCAAGATAATTGAATTTAAAAATTTAGAAATGGTATAATTTTAATGTAATTGATTTAAATAATTTATGATAAATAGTACTTTAATTTTGAAAATAACTGTAATCGTTAAACCAATTAAAAAAGTAGTTATATTACTTCTTAGTTTTGCACTTACTTTATATTATTCGAAAATTACCATTTACACCCTAAGAGAGAAATATTTAAAAAAATTAACTACGTGTTTGGTAAAAAGTTGTTTGTAATTTAATTGAGCATTTCTAAATTTATTGAACACCCTGTAATACATGTTTTCAGAATATTTATGAAACATTTTGATATTTATCGATGGTGTACTTTTTCTTTAATAAAAGTCATCGCTTCCGTAGTTTTCACCGTACTTCTTGTTATCCAAAATTGTGTCATACTCAGCTTTATGATCTTGATGAGATTTATGACCAAACTCACCACTATGACCTCTTTGTCCATCGTAGTATCCTCCCTTATTGAACGATCCCGACGTGCCCTTGTGTGCTTCATCATACCCTGATTCATGGTGTCCACCTTTTTTATATCCTCCGTCTTTGTGAAAAAAGTCCTTATGCTTTCCTCCATACTTATCGTGCTTGCCATGTTTGTGCACGTCTTCGTAGAAATTTTGTTCTTTGTTGTATTCGTCTTTGTGATACACATTATGGAAACCAGTTGTCAATTGCCCCTTTTTATGAGTTTCCGTTTCACCAAACTTATGGCCGACCATTCCGTGTGTTGCACTGTGGTGTTTTCCAAAATGATCGGCTTCGTCTACATGACTTGAGCTGTGTCCAGAAGCTTTTTTGTAATGGCCTTTGATGTCATCCTTTCCATATTTACCTACATTTTCTCTGTCGTGGTCATGATGAGCTTTATAACCACTATCGCCCTTGCTACCTGGAGTATAGTAATGACCAGCTTTTTGATACGAACCTCCCGATTTTGAATTTTTTCCTGGTGATTTATATTCGTTGTGAGTGTAAGGAGCTCCATCATAACCCTGAAAAATGTATCAAAAATTAATTAAATTTTAAACTTAATTTTAGTATAATTATTTTTTTAACAGATGGAAATATATATTATTAACTATTGTTAGAATATTTGTGACTAAAACAATTACAATTTTTTTTATCTGATTGTTAGAAATTGAATTTTATATAGTTGACAAAATTTTAATTTTATCTAATTTTTGATAAAATGTAGGAATACAGATGCTTTATTTGTTTTTTCAGTCAATTATAAATTATTATACAATATATTTTTTCTAGTAAAATGTCTATTCATTTTTAATTTTACTTTATTTTTATTTTATTTATGTTGAGTTCTCAAACGATGTATTGGGACCATTAATTTTGTCATACATTCATATAATTATTTTGATTATATATAGATCACTACATTTTAAATTATTATTAATTTTTTTTTTTTGGTATATTAATAAAAATATTTAAAACATATCTATTTGATATGAATCTCAAAATTGAGAAGAAATTTATTTTAATAATTAATTGTAATTAATATCGCATAGAAGTTTTTAGCAATTAATATCGTCATGACATTTATTTTATAAACAATGACTACCTTCAGCACTGGTGTTTTGTAATGATTTATTATAGATTAGTTCTACATTTATGATAAATTAATAAAAATAATTTCTTTTGATAATTTAAAAATTAAATATGAGGGTAAAAGAATCATTTCGATGACTCTTTGTATCTTTATGGGTTTAAACTATGAGTTTAGAATTTATATTAAATTTAGTTTCTTGGGGTTTCAAACCCAACCAACAATTTAAAACTACTAGAGCTCGTAAATCTTACGGATACGTTCTGTCACAATTTGTATCTCTAGATAGATTTATTTTTATTCAAAAATAGTAAGACGAGAAACAGACAACGTAAATATGTTAAAGTTTTAAAATAACGCACTACACTCGAGGTAAATTTGTTGTTAATGTAAGCCTAAAAAAACTTTATAAGGTTGGGGAACATAAATCATGAAAAACGATTTACATATTTGCGCTATTCACTAAATATTAATAAAATCAGAAATTTACTTAAAAGTTACACAATTAAATTGGTTAGTGAGAAAAGGTTTTCTTTTAAGTCAATATGAACAATTTAGTTTAAATTTAAAGTTAAGTAAAAATAAATAAATTCAATTAATTTTTTTATCTTATATTATTTTTATAAAATTAGAAGTGTAAGTTTTTAAATTTTTGCATCCATAAGATTAAAAAAAATAACTTCTTTTTTTAAAAAAAACTAAAACAATCAACAAATCAAATGAAATAAAAGTATATTAATTTGAATTAAAACAAGGGCCCGGAACTATATTTATTTATAATTTTTGTTAAGTTATTCCAAACATTCTATTAGCTTCTATAAAATTGTATAAATTGATTTAAAAACTAAGTATTATCACTATCACTACTAAATAAATCTTATGACTGTTATGTTATATTTTACTTTTGATTTATAAACACTGTTTATAAATCATGTATGATGTTTATTAAAACAGTTTACATAAATACTTTAAAATTATTCTTGAAGATACAATTCTTCATAAAAAATTATCTTTATATTTACTAATGAAATATATATTAGAAATATGTTGTTTAAAATTTTGGTATAACTCTACTCGTATTATTATAAAATAAGTCCAACGATTTCCAAGTATTTATAAATTGTGACTTCACCTGTCTAATATTACTAAATGTAAGTATAATGATAACTCGTTAAATATTATTATATAATATATAACATAAACTCATTGATAATATATAATACTCAATAATAATACAACACAGAATATATTATATTCCGTATCGGCGTACAATTTATATTGATAGGATTTAGATATTTGTCATTTACGTTTCTACATTATTTGAGTTTTATATAGACTTTTTTAAGATTTTAACAGACCTGATAGTCAATGTTCCGATGTCCTTGTTCGCCTTTTAAACCTCCACCAATATCTGACACATCATGATGGTACTTAAACGACGATCCTCCGTGGTCAAAACCATAGTTCATCTCACCACTACTGTGGTCAAATCCATGCCCTTCTCCTTCGTCATTTTCTCCATCTACAAATGCCTCGATGTCATCCATGTCTCCCATCTCGAATTTAAAGCCTAACCGATCGTCCGGTCTGCCATCCGTTTCAGTAAAAGGTTTATTTTTGACATAACTTCCTAAATCAATTTTACCTGGTGCGTAACGGTTTTCATGACCCACGAAGGGCATGTACGGTGCAGATTTGTAGCTTGGCGCATCATGAAAACCGTTTTTTCTTTTGAAATCTGAAAACAATTATTAAATTTAATTTTGTGTCAACCGCAGATAATTTCATATGCTGTGATTTATTCAGTATCGAATGACATGCTTCATTAAAATGAATACTTAGTATATTGAAGAATTAACAAATGCATTTAATTATAATTTTAACAAATCTGTTTTTTAGTTGTACGCACTAAAATACTCAATATACTATCTTATTTTTAATAGTTTAACAATCAATAAATACGTTTAATTAAGTTAATAATACATATTGATCGTCTATGAATATGTTCTCGTAACAAAGTCGAGACAAAATAATTACACTAATATTTTAATAATAAAAAAAAAAACATCGAAATAATATGATTGTAAACTTTATAAATAATTTACCTACAAGTGTCGGTCGTACGATTTTATATTCATATGGGAAATTAATAATTATTTTGTCGTTATTGTTTTGTTGGGTAGTAATTCTCTCATTTATTTATTCGATTCGTGGCGATTGCTGTCTAATATATGTGGTATTGCAAGAATAGCAATTTAGAGATGACATGGTGTGACCGGAATATAACGCGTTAGAGAGTAATTCGATCGAAATTGCTAATACATACATTTTGCGTCACACAAATATTTGATTAGATTCGAACGTTACAGTCAATTCAGTCGGCTGTAAACAGAAAGCAATTTTTACCCGTATGCAGCTTCTGGATTAACAATACTGTAATAACTTATTTCCCTCGTGTAATAATGACATCATTATCCAAAATTCGGTGTACTAATATTACAACATTTACGGCTGTCAAAAAACAGGTGACGTATAATAACGACAACAACGTATTTAACAAGGGTATCAAGATACATAATTACATTAATCAGGCTTGAAATTGGCAGACGCGAGATTTGTGATTTTAGCCATAGCAAATAAATTTCATTGTACCTGTGAGTGTAAAATGCTACCACCAGTTGAAAATGTTTGCCTATTGAAACTATTAGTAAATTCAGAATTGAAATTTGAAGGGTAAAACCGCCTGGTAATATTGATAAAATGTTTGTGTTCGAACAACATTTTTTATTTTTGTTCACTTAATAAAAATATTTTAAAATACATATACAATTATATATATTTTTTAAATTATTATTTTTACTGGGTTTATATATACGAAATGTCTATGTATGTTTTTCACGTACTCGAAATAAAATGAAAGACATAACGACGTAGTCCAAATGTCAATGAAACACAAAAAAAAAAAAAATTGACATTTTAACTATAGACACAAAAGTAGTAGACGATCAGACCTTGTACCTCGTGTGAAATTGTATTATTAATCAAGTTAAAAAATATTTAATTCACTTTATTGAAGTAATTGATTAAATATTGTCTTTCAAATGTCGAAGAAAAATTCAATTTCTAAGAATAAAATTTTATTATTAATCTAAAACTAAAATTATGTATTGTATTTTTACTATAGGATAACAAGATTTTGACTATAAATTTGCTAATTGACCTCTATTGATAATATTACGCGAACCTCTGCAATAATTAAAACGAAGTATTTTTGAAATAAAGAATACAAAGTAATTTGTTAATGTAATATTCTTTAAGAAAAAGAAACAATGGGCAAAGGAATGGTTTTGTTCGCATTGACAATAATCGATTTGGATCATCCGCGAAACTACCCTAAATCATCGTCTAGTTTCCTGTGTTCTCAAGGTTAAGATTCTCAGTGATCCGAGAAGCATTTCAAGTTCAAATTATGGTCAATTAATTAGACAAATGAATTTTTTGATAGAATCTTTGGTATTACGTTGATATTATATAGAAATATTTTTTTTTTAAAGTAGGGAAAATTAACAATGATTTCTACAAAATAATTATTGATTGCCACTTTACTACCATATTTATAATTTTTCGCTTTCAATCTAGTTAACTTGTTTGAACAAATTATTTAAATAATAGAAAATTAATAAAATAAATAGCCAATCAACTACGACGGAATAATAATAAAGCTGAAGTCAGAATTTTTTCTTAATAAACTCTTTTGAATAATATCATCAACAAAAATGTTTAATTAATAAGATAGTCGCAAATTGGATGTATCAATAATGTATATAGTAAAGATCGAATTGTTACTGGTAAGCTAATTTCTAAACAATAATTAGGTTAAACGTGTATACAATAAATAATTCTTAATCAAGTCATTTTCAAAAGTTTTCTATTTAAATTGACATTTATATTTTATATTGCGACACATTTAAAATTATAAATTTTCAGTTAACTGAATTATCTTCAAAATTAAAACATATACCAAGTATATAGCATCCATTGACGATTAAAATGAATAAATTAAAGTCGATAAATGTGTTAACTCTAAAGTAATGTATTGAGGTAAATTTCTTGCAGTAATTTTCAAATTATATTTATTATACTTATTAGAAATTGATTTTAGATTAAAAAATATCGATAGGATCAATAAATATAATTGCATAAATAATTATAAATATAACAAATAACCTTCATTATAATTCAATTTTTTTATGGTTAATTTTAAAATTAATAATAAGTAAAAATTTAAATATTTTTAGAATATTTATAGTTTACATTCACGTAAAAATATTCTTCTTCAAGAATTAGTTGCATTTTTTTTATGGAGGGGTATATATCTTAAAACAATAATGTCAATATTTTTTATTTATTAACATATATATTATATAACTATACATTATAATATAATTATATTGTAACTCAGCTCATATTATTATTATAAAAAACGCAATGATTCGCATATATTCTATTTTAATTTAAAATTATTACACTTAAAAGTATTTATGACACATTTGTTAAAATATCATTTATCCAAATAATTTTTAAAGAGTTCTGTATTTGACTAAATATGATTTTTGTTACTCACTATTGAAAATTTTTGCATTAAATGTATTTATTTGCATTTAAGTATTTTAATTAAATAATTTTTTTTTAATAAAAATGTAGCAAATAATCAATCAATTGAAAAAATGTTTATGACAAATGATAATTGAAAAATATTTTTTATTTGTGTGTTACTCACTTTCCAACAAAGCATCGAATTGTTTATTGTTTCCTTCGCCAAGTTTAATAAATACAGGAGGATTCTGCCCATCTGTTTGATAAATATAACCAGACGCTACTTTTTCCAAGTCTCGTTGTTCTTGCGAATCATGTTTATTCAAGTACTGAGCTTCAACTTTTTCGCTTATCACAACCGCAATGATTGATAGAAATATTGCGGTTGCCATGATCACTAATCGACTCATTTTCACTTTTATAAGTATTAAGAAATCACAAAAAAATATTCCGCTAAATGTAATTTATTTGGCCAATAAATTTTCAATGATTTTAATCTAAAGAAAAATAATTTTATTCGATTTTGGCTCACTATTTGCAACGAAGTTTTTTCCTGTATGTTGGGTCGATGATCGACACGAGCGTATATAAAGTAGTTAACCCTCTCCAGGGTGAGGTATCAGTGGTGAAGTGGGAAAAAAAATCATAAAGATCCTTGAACAATTCGTTTGTGTACGGAATAATAATTTATTCATCAAATGAATTGAGTATTTTTATGGAAAAAACATCAATTTAATGCTCTATTGGAAGACAAATACAAATATTGTCAAAGGAATACATTAAATTGACGTACAAATGCATTTAGCATTCTTTTATTGTATTCATATAATAGTTTGGTGCATAATATTCAGTTTTTTCATAATTTGAAGATCCAGTTACGCGGAGTCCTTGAATTCGTAATGGTCTATATATCCGAAATTGTTACCTATTCATTTATTACAGTAAAGATTAGTATTATAAACGTTGTGTTGTGACATAGGCTTATCTAATTATACTGATTTTATTCAAAATCAGGACAAACAATTTTCATAAATAACTATAGCCTTTAAAACGCAAATTTTTGTTAAAACTTAATTAAAAACCAAATATATTTGATATCAATAAACGCAAAATTTCGTTTAACATAATAATATTTAGAACATAAACAATTCTAATTAAAAGAAAAAACATATTTTTTACAAACGTTACATTCAAAAAATTCCGTATAAGAATTATGTAGTCACTAGATACATTTTCAAACTACTTATGGCAGTGCATTATGCTCCATTTTAAATTTAAAGTGAAAGAACGTTAAAATGTTGTGAATGATGTTGAAATTAATTATAAAATAACATTATGATATATTTAAAGACATATTTAATTTTTAAGATATTAGAATTTAAAGGTTTAGTCAATCTGATGAGTAGAGTAGTGTTTAAAGATGTAATATTTTTATTATATATTAATATAATATTATTTATTATTTATTATAAGAATACGCCAGCAGTGCAGATATTTCAGTATTTGTCCCTATTGTATTAAACATTTTAACTTTCATTAGTCTTGATATTTATCTTATTTACTTATAGCCGATTCCAAAAAAATTTACAGTAATTTTTTTATTGAAATCTACGATTAAACTTTCACAGTTTTTATCAAATTATTTCTGAAATGTTATGGAGCAAAAATAACATTTTGGTTATATCCAGGCAAAAAAAAAAAAATCATTTCATTTTAAAGGTTATTAATTATTCATGATATTCTATGTGTTTATGTAATAAATTTAACAAATAAATAGCGAGTTAACAGCAATAACAAATAAAGTATATAACTGAAAAAGACATACATTTCAAACACTTGGTTCAATTTTAAGTTATTTTACCAAAAATAATCAGAATACAAAATTATGAAATATATTTTTTAATTATTAATTTTGCAACGTTGTTTATATTCATATATGGTTATATGAATATTTATTTATTTGAATCGATAAGTGCTCTCTACATTTTGAATTTTTTTTAATAACTTTTGATTTATTTTCAATTAAAGTTTCTATTAAATATTGGGATAGGATATTCTGTGTTATTTTTTTATTGTTTTAAATCATTTAAATATTTAATTTAGGATTAAACTTGAATAAATAACTTTTTTTAGAAATTAATTTTTTGTGTAAATCATTGTTAGTTGAAAATGAAGGCTACGCCATAGCATGTAATTTTAAATGTTATGTATAGTTTTGTTTTTTAGCAAAACATAATATATCTTGTACATAACTTAACCATTTTACACCCTATGCACAAAAACTCTTTATTTATTTTTTTCATTTTATAAGTTTTGGGTAGTTGTCAATCGCTGCAATTAACAATAAAATATGCACCATTTGGTTTTCTTAAATATGATAAAATATTTTCTTTTAGTGTGATATTGAAATCGATAATTAGAAAAAACCAAATAAATATTTTTCAGACACCATAATGAAAACATAAATATATTAATAAAAGTTACGCAAATATTCTCGTTCAACTCATTAATTATCAAAAAACCACAGTACAAAGCTTCGCATGAAATTTAATAAATATCAAAGAGAATAAAGAAAGTAATTCTAACAAAATTATATTTTAAAAAATATTGGTGCTAAATTGGAGGGAAAATGTTCACTGATATTTATTTTGTAAGCGGCGCCTTTGAACCTTTGAAAATGTGTTCATTTTAATTTTTCTGGAAAATTATTTATAACTGATCATATCTTATTTTTCATATCTTAGTTATACTATGTAAACAAAAGTCATTTTGGAATTTACAGAAAAATTCGATATAATCTTATTATTTAATTATACACCCAAAGAAAAACCTCAATCAAAATTGAAAGAGAAATTTTATCAAGGGTTTATGATAATGTTTTATTAATACAAACAAAATAACTATCCTTATAAATAATTATTGTTCAAGACAAGAAAAAAAAATATCATATTGATAAATATATCATTGATTCAATAGTAATGATATATTTATCAAATTGAACAATGAATTTATTATATAGATCGAGGTTTATCTCTGGGTGTACCATTGCCAAAAATTTAAAACTAAAGAAATATTTGTCTATATTAAGTTTTTATAGTAATAATAATTATAGAAAATATTACTATTTTTATCATTCAACTGCATGACATTTGTGCAAACTCAATTTAAAATTTAAACTTTTTTATTATACTTGTTTCATATAGAAATATCAGTATAAAATTTTTGTTCTCTTTAGTCCGCTTATTTTAACTAAACTTAGTAATTATATTGTATACGACATCAATTATACTTCAAATAGTGTTCGCAATTCTGTTAGATATAATTATTAATTATAAATATACATATTTTTCAGCGAAAAATGCATAAAATAACTATACTGACTTTAATGCTGTTTTACAGTAAAGGAACCATTGCTGAAAATTTGACAGGTAAAATATTTCCGACTTAATTTTCGCTTTATTTAAAAATGAATTTAATGTAAAATTTCAGAATATGGATTAGAAATTTATAAAACAAGTAAGTGTACAATAGTTATATGTATAATAGAATTATTTAGATAAGTATTGTTATATTAATTTGATTTTTATACAAAATTGTATAAAAAATTGTTTAATATAATCGTTATATATAATAATAATAGTATTTAATATGTATTTATTGAAAATTATATTTTAGATAATATGATAGTGAACATGACGGCCATTGGTAAATTATATTGTAGATTAAATGCACCAAAAAACCTCTAAAATATATGATTAAAAACTAATGAAAAATTATTTAAAATATGATAAAACCAAGAAGTATTAAATATTTTTTAAAATCTGTTTTTAAGAACTAATTATTTAATATGTATTATTATTCTTATTCCATTATTGTTTTATGCAACATTTTTATGCATTACATTTTTATTACATAAAATATTTTAAAATATAATTTATATTTTATTTTTATAAATATTTTTCACAAGAAAACAATGCTTCGATTCTAGTCTGTTCAATTTTACAATTATTTATAGATTTGTAATTTCAAGCGTGAAATTATATATAAAATAAAATTAAAACAGAAATTACACTTTCTAGGTTTTAAAATTTTACTAAAATATTAAATGCCTGTTAAGTATTTGATTAGTTAAAAATAAAGTAATTTTTCTTAAAAGTGTTCTGTGGGAAACAAATTAAACAAAACAGTAGCACAGTGGAGTCGTGGCATAGTTGGGACAAGTATTGATGATATCTGACAGTGATTAAAATTATTATCATAAAAAACGCTTTGATGCGAATGTATAGATAGTGTTTAATTTTAAGACATAGGTGGATTATTCTAAAAACAAAATAAACTCCTATTTTTTGTTTTAATTCGACTGTCATTTGCATATAGAAAATAGGTTGACGGTACAATTTTTTTTTTTTTTTGATATTCTAGTACATATAATAAGCTTATAAAAATTAAAAATCGCTTTTTAACTTTTTATCTAAATGAATGCATATTTTTTCTCTAACTAACGCTATTAATAATTTATTATAGCTACTAAAGCTATAATAAAAGGGAATCCAAAGATTTATAGATAACATGTTGTCTATTGAAGGCTTTTGTAAAATGAATCTAAAAGTTAAAAAAATGTATTAGTAAAATTAAATTGTATCCTATTTTTTGTTTTACTTCGACTGCCATTTGCACATAGAAAATAGATCGTCGGTACAATTTTTGTTCTTTGGACTTCTAGTACATTACATAAGCTTTAATTTAACATATGTTTAAAGGATACAGTATTTCCGAAACATTTACAAAAGTTGAAAAGGTTCTACTTTTTATACGTATGTTTCAATATTTGAACGCCCTTTGCATAATGGGAAATTGCCTGATTTAAAAAAAAACATGATTGATTAAAGAAGTATATAAATAGTATTTGTTATAAAAAAAATTGCATTGATCGATACATTTTTCAAATAGTCATAGTAATTTAAAGTTGAAAATTTAAAATCAGAAATCGAAAATTTTAACATAAAAATAGCATTTTTTTAGCAGCCGTTTACACGTAGAAAATTAGAGTCAGGACTAATTATTTTTTTAATTTATAGTACGTAAATTAAGCTTTAATTTGACATATATTTTAAAAACGCAGTATTTCCCGAACATTATTAAATGTTAACAGACTACAAAATATTATTAATCGTTGACTACAAATTTTTTTTAAAATAATAATATTATTTATAAGTAGTATTTATTTTCTTTTAAGTAGAAAAAAATTTTTTAACTTGGTCTGAAATCCACTAAAATATGAATTTTATCATTAAAAAAAATGTATTCTTTATGAAGGAAAAGGGATAGATCTAAAAAATATTTAACCAAATATTGAAAATTGAGACAAAATAGTATTAAACGAAACCCTAAATAAAAATAAAAAAATCATATTTATTTTAGAAGAAATATTGTGATCAATCTAAAATATAAAATATAGGTTAAATATTGCCCGAATTAAGCTGAAAAAAGTGAAAAAAAACTTGCTATTAAAATCCTAGAGATTGAAAAATTTGATTGAAATTTCTTTTGTTAGGCTGTATTAAGTTGATAAAATATGAAAAAATCTAATAATCTACTCTTTAGTAATGACTATTAAGTTTATTTACAATTTTAGTAACTATAATATCATAATCAGTTTGATAATTTTTATTCTAAATCAGAAATAGTTTAAAAAAGCCTTATTAAAAACTTTGTGAAAATTTATACAAAGAAAAATTAAATGCACCAAGAAAAACTGAAGAATAATATTATTACTAATAATATTAATAAATTCAAATATTCTGGTTATTACAGATCAATGCAAGATTTTTCAATACATATTTTTTCGCATTCATCGAGGTAATAGTGACCTTAATGTTATGATAAATTTAAATACTAACCAAACCAATATTAATTTTCCGCTGAAATAATGAAAATAAAATTAATTTTATATTAAAGGTATAATTAATAACGAAATCGCACTGTTTATTTTTTACCCTTAACAGTAAATACGTAATTTTACAAAATATTTTCTTCTTTTGGAATGCGATTTCATTTAAATAAAACAGCCACACATTCAATTTTATAAATTATATTTATTTACTTTTTGTGTGGTAATTTTATGTTTCAAAATTAATGTTTGAATCTGTTTTCAAAACTTTTCAGACAATGCATTGAATATTTTACTACCTGGAGGTACAAAATAATATTTCTCATTTACTAATTTTTACTACTATAAGATATATTGGATAAGAAGATATCTTTTTTATTTAATCGATTTATTCAGGTTAAATAAATTATTGATTAACGAAATTATAAATAAAATAATTTATTGAATTTAAATTATTTTCATATTTCTTAAACTTAATATTGTGAGCAGAATTAATAAAATACTTTAAATTTAATTAATTACTTTAGTTTTGTCTTCCTATAAAACTAAAAAAAAAAATCAAAGTAATTTGGAAAGATAACCCTTTTATTATTGTTTTTCTTTTTTGGTGCTGAATTTTTTGTATCTTATTTTCAATTTGAAGCTATGTAGTACTTACATGGTTTACTAGTTATTGATTACATCAATTTTTAGTTCACTTTTGATGTCCTCATAGGTAAGTAGGTAAGAAATTTAATAGTCTCAAAAAAATGTATGTACAAAGTGCATAAGGCAAAAAGATGCCACTAAACTAACCTCTTCTTAAAGATGTTCGGAATTATACTAGGATTATTGAACTGAGCAAAATTCTAGATTTTTTTTTCAAAAAAAATTTTAAGAACAGAATTTTAAAAACTAGTATTTTGTTGTAGAACTATCGGGTCTTGCTTCAAATATTCTGAAAAGAAATCATATTGAACCGTTTAGGACAAAGTGTACTACAACATTTTTATCTCGGTAAATTCTTAAAAATAAAAATACTCGTTTACCCCTAAACTATAGTTCAAAATTTCTAATTTTGACAGCTATGTGAAAACCAGGAAAATGTCATAAATTTATTAATACAATTACTTCTAAAGAGCCTCTTTTTAATATAATTATTATAAAACCGTATATTCTGTAAAATTAGCTTTTTCAGTTGTATTGATATTATTGAAGTAATATACAGTAGACCAATCTTAATATTAAAGTTTGCTAGGACCAAATCTTCCTTTTGTTTATCTACCAAAAATATTAATAATAACATCCAGTCTAGAATTTATAAGTTATTATCATAATTTATAAACTGAGATTCAATCCATCGATAATATGAGTAAAAGGAATATTAAATTCCTAAATATTTAAAATATGAAAACTAATTATAGTTATTGGAAAACTTTCCGTATAATACAATAGTATTTAAATAGTATATTTTTTTGTCAAATTCTAGAGCAAACAATAGATTTATGTATAAAAAAAGAAAAAGCAATCAGAACGTTTGTTAAAAAAGTCGCATCTAGAGAAGGTATTATTATAAGAGCTTCTGCCCTTTTAAATTTAATTGGCCATATATTTATACATATATGTGTGTGTGTTTAATTGTAAATGTATTTTTTAAAATATTCAAATTAAGTTTACATGTTGTTAGATAAATATTTTAAATATTTTGTTTTTCCATCGTTTGATACATATTAATCATAAATTATAAAGTAACATATGTATTATAAAATTACACAGTCAACATTTCTTTAGGTATTCCAATCAAAGGGGATACACATCAGTCATTAGAAGTCGGTAAGTCAATTTATCAGTTTGTTATTCGATAATATAATTTTTATTTAATGTTGTGTTGTGTTACCAATACTATACATAATTTGCTATGTAAAATATTATCTTCGTATATCTTTTATTTATATATTTAAAACAATATAACTAACAACTGTTATTAAAAATATTAACTTCATCATACCAATATAAAGAAAAAATAATAATTTTTATATTTTACCAGTGACGTAGCAAAGATTATTAAATGGTGGGGGACATAGTTAAAAAAATATACGAAAACTCAACCCTTTATTTTTTCTCATCATTTTAATTTAATGATGAATATTGCTCTCAATGGGGGCATGGCTCCTGTAACTTCCTTGGTAACGCATAATGTTTTACTTCGATTTTTTGTTTCATATAAAGCAACATAACATTTTAAAAATACATAATATAGGCCACTTAATCTTTAATATTAAGACAAACATATCACTGGGTTCCCGAATTGTAAAAAAATATGATCTCTTTTTATTTTTTCAGACGATTTACTCAAATTTCTATATCCTTCGGGTAATTTTTAAGCACCAGCGAATATAAATATTCAGTTATGGTAAAGTATTTGATTTTAATTATTTTTCAACAGCTACGTTTGATTCAGGTAAAAATGTTTATTTGTTAATTATTTTAAAATCAAAAATTCAATTAAAAAAATAAAAAATCGCTTTTTAACTTTTTATCGAAATTACTGCATATTTTTTTCTCTAACTAACGCTATTAATAATCTTATATAGCTACTAAAATTTATAAGGAAATCCAAAGCTTTTAGATAACATATTGTCCTGTTAAAAGCTTTTGTAAAATGAATCTAAAAGTTAAAAAAAATATTAATAAAATTAACTCCTATTTTTTGTTCTACTTCGACTGCCATTTACACATAGAAAATAGATCGTCGGTACAAATTCTTTTTTTTTAGGCTTCTAATACATAAAATAAGCATTATTTTAACATATTTAGTTAAAATAGTTCACATAGTTCTACTTTTTATGGAAATTTTCAATTTTTTAAAAGGCAAAAAAACTTTTATTAATTTTGAAGAGACAAAAGAAATATGAATTTATATTTAATACAAGTTAAATTCATGTAAATTTTATATTTATTGGTGGACTCATTACTATGCCACCCTTATAAGGTATTTTGAAATAAAGTAACAAAAATAAAATTTGAACACAAAAATAGCATTTTTTTGAACTACAACAGCCTTTTGTATAAAGAAGATAGGTCGTCGGAACAATTTTTTTTATTTATAGTACTTAAAATAAGCTTTAATCTGACATACATTTTAAGAACGCAGTATTTATTATTTTAAAACTTAAGCTGAAAAAGTTGAGTTTTGTAAAATAGTTGTTATTTTATGGGCAGGTAAAGAGTAGGATTAAAAAAAATATTATCTCAAATATAAGGAAATTATTTAAGGTTTTAATGTAAAAAAATTATTTTGATTTGTTCATTTTTCAATAAGTTATAGCAATTTTTGAAAACGGTGAAAAATATGTCGAAATTTACTGTTTGAAAAATTGGGAGATTTCCACCATTTATGGAGAACGAAAGAAAAAATTTCAATTTTTGAGGGCAATGTTTTCGACTAGATACTATTTTTGATCTTTTGACTTATTGTTGAAAAAATCGGTCTAGTGAGAGCAGAGAAAAAACAGTGACAGACACAAAAAAATAATAATAATAATAAACGCATTATAGTGATTTTAATACTTTCTCAGTTCGCATCGAAACTAAAAAAAATTAATTGTCTATAATTGATTAAATAATTGAACTAAAAAAAACGTGTTTTTTAATGAGGTGTTTTAAAAATTAAAATAATAAAATATTGTACACCTGGAAAATAGTTATTAAAGATGTTAATAGATAAATTTTAATACATAATCAATTTCAAAATAATAATGTTAAATGAATTCTTAATTTTTTATAATATTTGAGGCCTACGCTATTTTTGTTGGGGCCTAGAACTAATATCTAAATCGATTTATCCTGAAACCAGTGGTAACAAAACCTTATCTAGAATATAATTTTTCGAGGAAGTCCAAAATGAGTAGACATATAAAGAGGGTTGGATTTACATATTTATGTATATTTAAACAATATCTCGGAGGGTTCCAAACTCATTGGACTCCATTTCAGTTACGGTCATGAATACTGTACGTAACTGTAAAAAATAAAAAAAATTTTGTGCTATCATTATTAAAAATAGTTTTTTGTTTTTAATATTTTAGATAATCTTTCTTCGTATATCTCCTTCAAAATTAATCGATGATTAATTTTTGGTTTATTTTTGCTTATTTTCTACTGAGGATCAAATTTGATTTCACTTTTAATTATTTCTGTATAGATTAATCAATTAAACTTATAAGTGTTAACTTAAAAAAATTAATAATATACTTTCATAAAATTTTGTTTAACAACATTAATTAGGTAATGTGATACATATTACCTAAAATATTAATTGTTTAATATTTAACATAGATATGATTGATGATGAATCATTAGATGATGGTAAATAATTTTACTTAGAATAAAAAACTTCAAAAAATTTACATTTAAAATTTATTTTTAATTAAAGTGTTGAAAATTATGTACATTTTATTTACAGAAATGATTGATGTTAATCTTTTAGAAAGTAAGTAACATTTTATCATGTTAATATAAAGTGTTGCAATTACGGTGGTTGGGGAATGATACAATATTTCCAAGATTTAAATTTCTTTTTAGCAAATGCATACAATTTTATTTACTGTTATGTAAATATATGTTTTAATGATAGAGGAAAATCATTTTTTGTTAAGTAACGCCCTCAAAATGTTTATTTTAGTTATGCCAATATTGTAATATTAAAAAAGGAAAATATAATGAGAAGAATTATTGACCAAACTGGGATGTTTGAGATCTGGTTAATTAGTTAACATCGAAGTTCGTAGAGTTGAGGGTTTAGAACAATAAATTAGATATAAATAGAAAATAGTTAACAGTCCAGGTTATAGAAATGTAAAGATAAATTGGTTGAAAAGCTCCTTTAACAGAACACTGTGGTTTTCTTAAAATGGCCATACCTAATGCAGATACCTAGTCGAAATGTCTATTAATAATGTGTGAACTAGTTTTATGAATTAGTGTTATGAAAATAGTTGATCTAATGTTTTATTGTTATTTAATCAGAATATTAATTCTCTAGAATTGGGATAATGAAATTTACTTATTTCTTTTAATTACTTTCGTAAAATTGACGAATAACGATCATTGACGATAAAAAATGTCAAGTTCATATCTTTTGCTTGAGTTGCGTGAATTCGCACACACGAAATTCCAATTATTTTTCATTTTTATAAAATATAAATAATGTTTCAACGCGAATAATTTCGTATAATGATACACTGATAAAGGGCCAACAACGGATGTGGCTAATAAAACTTGAGATAAGGAATTCGAGAAAAGACGAACTAAATTCTGGATTTTATCCAGAATTGGATTGAATCTGATGTACGAGCAGAACTGAGTCTTTTTATATTATCTTTAATTACTCACATTTTGGGATATTATCATCAACGCTTTTAGTGAATATTTGTTTATTGTATTAAATTGAACATGATTGTTAATTGTTAAAATAAATCTTAATCATCTTATTTTATTAAGATAAAATACATAGTTACCATGATGAAGTTAATATGTATAATAAATAGTGTAAATATTATGACAGATAAATTAATTATTTATATACAATTAATAGATTACTAAAATTTTTAAGATGTGCAACGCAATTGTGCATATTATGACAATTTTTACAATGACGTTGGAATGGGGTACAAGGGAGCAGTTGTCCCTTTCCAGTTCAAATACAAAAGAACAAAGTATCGTTATGTCCCCCTCCCAAATTGAATATGACAAAAATAGATTATTATTGTTAAATAACTAAGTTTTATATTATACTTTAATTATATGATAAAAAAAAAGATTTCAGATTTTGTATCATCCCATACAAAACTCATTGCAGTCAAGTTTTAGTCAAGAATTAAATTTGTTTTTTTTCAGTACTCAATTTAAATGTTTTTAAATTATAATTTTTAATTTGATAAAAGTTATTCTGCTTAGAAAGTTTGACTTTGAATAAATTGAATTAGATATTTTTATCTAATGATACAATAATTTTTTATTTGTTGAAATAAATAAAAAAACCCAGCACAGTGGAATCGTGCCATCAGTTGGGACGTGGCATAGTTAGGTCAAGTATAATGATATCTGACAGTAATTAAAATCAATATCATAAAAAACGCTTCGATGCAAATCTGTAGATAGTGTTTAATTTAAAAAAAAATGCTGGATTAGTCCAAAAGCTATATAATATCCTATTTCCTTATTTATATCCTGATTACAAGTTTTATCATTTATAAGTGTAATATATGAATAAATAAATATATAAAGGGAAATGGTTTTATTAAAAAAAAAAAGTATGTCGAATATATTATGTTGATCCATATATTTTTCAAAAAGTTATAGCATTATAAAGTTAAAACTGTTAAGTATAAAATCGAGAATTTTCACACAAAAATAGCATTTGGTAGCCATTTTCATAATGAAGACAAAATAAAGCCCGAATTTTTTTGTTTTTTCATAATAAAGTAAATAGCATTAGCTTTAATTTAAGATATATAGAAAAGTGTCAGACTTTTCGGAACATTTTCAAAATTTAAGTTTAAAGAGTTAAGTTTTTGTGAAAAATTTGCTATTTTGAATCTCCTCTTGTAGGCAAGTAAAGAGTTAAATTTTCAAAAGTATTAAATCAAATAATAGTAAATGACTAAAAAAAAATTATGTTGATTTGTTAATTTTTGAAAAAGTTATGAAAGTTTTAAGAAAACAATGACGAAAATTAGCGATTTTTAAATTTAAATTTTTTTGGAGATTTCCCTCATTTACGGGTACAAGGGAAATTTTTTCAATTTTTGAGGGTAATGTCTTCGACTAGATATAATTTGTGATCTTTTGGCGTATCGTTGAAAGAAATCGGCTTGGTGAGAGCTGAGAAAAAGTAACAGCCACAAAAAAAAAAACACATCATAGTAAAATTAATACCTACTCAGCTTCGCATCGAAGCTAAAATATTATTAATCCTGTAAACCATAATTTAGTATATTATCAATAATTATTAATAATATAATACAAAATAATATGCATTATTTAGGGAAATTTTATAACTAGAGGGGTTAAATTCAAAATTCTCAAAAATAAATTTACCAACGTTTTTAATATATTTTAAGTCAAGTGGCTAATTTTTAGATCTAAAATTTTTGACCCACAAGCAAAAAATAGTTCCGGCTCTTCTGACTATTAATATAATAACTAAGATACTATCAACATTGCATTAATTACAATAGATATATTAACCTATATTAAATTTAACAGATATTTCAGCCAACATCCATCTGCTGTATGAGAACCGAGTAAATATAATTCAGTATATTGTGAATAATTGCACCTTTTAAAATATGTAAATTTAAAAATATATATTAATGATTTAAAACCATTTGATTTTTTAAACAAGCTAATTTTTAAATGTAAATACATGATATTTATTATTAATAGTAATATATAGTTCCTTTATTATTGGTTTACAATCACTTATAAGTTCAATAATTTTTATATGAATTATAATTTAGTTTTAACATGGAATCAATAGACTGGGTATTTAAGTTTATGGTGTCACAATAAGACTAAACTGAATTTGTGTACATAAGTCATGCTGGCCTGCAATGTGCAATGTTATTATATAACATCATTAGTTGACTAAAATCGTATTACGGTATACAAAATAAGAACTTTTAGCGTTTTTACGGTCTAATAAGTATACAACTTGTTTTATAAATAATTTAGGCATTATTTTGTATATTGAAAAAAATTATGCTATATTTTAAACACCTTAATTCATATAAAAACAAAAGCTAGCTCTAAACTTTCGGCTACAAATACGTCAATTAACGTAAATTTACCTGCTGTGTCCACTGTTGATGTAAAAAAATCTAAAAAGGAAGAAATACGTAAATTAATCATTTTTTTATTATTCATTTCATGTAAAAAAAAGTTGTGAACTTAATATTCGTTAGATTAAAGTTACCCCTACAAGACTTATATCTAAGAGAGTATTGGTTCTAGACATTTCAAACAAAAGTATTTATATGTTTAAATTTATACTTCAAAACCTAAAAAAAACTTAAATAATATTAAACTATTCAGATAGCTTTCTTAAAAATTATGGAAAGTTTTAAATATGTGATGGTGTCACGTTTTCATTATTGTGAGAATTTATTCTAATAAAATGCAAACAGCATATTCGCTCCTGAGACTGATGAATTAACAATTAACATTTATTGCTAAATTGGCAATAGTCCAAATTATTATAAAAACCCAAAAGACCTGGCCATCTTGGTCAGTCGACTCCAATGCCTTGTGTCATTCATCAGTCTCGGTACTCGGTTGTCGCTGTCCGACTTACTGTATACAGTTAAGTCTTTGTTTTTTCCTTTTTAACCTTCCTCGACATTTCAGAGAACTTGTGTCTTGCGCTTCGTCTGCACCTTACAACAGCCTTTTGACACCCAGAGCTCACCCGGAGTGTCAGCCGAGCATGGTGACTGCTGTACGATAGCACGCATGTGAATACCTACAGCAGGCTCATTCTCATCATCTTCTTCGTACGGTTTACTTTCTGTTTTGTGTTACGACAAATATTTACAATTGCAGAACTCATACATAATCAAAACACAAATAGTTTTGATTAATACAATGCACCTTCATTAGTGATGAGCAGAATTACTCTTGTTCTTGCGGTCTTGGCTTGGTCTTGCATTTCTACGAAACCAAGAACAAGACCAAGACTGTAATAATATCAGCAAGACCAACATCAAGACTGTACTCAATTGACAAGAACAAGACCAAGACTTTTTTAGCAAGACCAAGAACAAGAACAAGACTAGACTTGCAAGAACAAGACCAAGACCAAGACTCAAAATGCAAGAATCTTGCAACAACAAGAATAAAACTGCAAGAGTATTGCACTCTTGCAAAAAAAAAAAAAAAATTGTTGTTGGTTAAAATCGTTAAGATTATTAATGACAGATTCGACAATATTAAATTTTACTTTGATTTTTATTCATTACGCGTATTGTTCAAATTAAATATTACCTATGAGCTGATGTTACCGATTAACTTAAAATTTTACAATCATGTTTCAAAATTTATTGTCATTCAATTGTAATTAATTAATTTTAAATAATTAAAGAAGATTAAAAATAAATATTCCGTGCTTCAAACATTATGATAAAATTAGATAAAATTTTTGTTTACTTCTAAAGCGGAGACTGAAACTGGTTTTATAAAAACTGGTTATAACAGTTTTTTTCGGTTTTGTTAATCAAAACCAATAATTTTTAAAAACTGTGTCTATGAACAGAAAGCGATTATTATTTAAAACCGGTTTTAAAAATCGATACATAAAACCGGCGACTGGTAAACTCATAAAATAAATATATTCATGTTCATTATTCAATGAAAAAAATTAATTAAAATGCAAAAAAAATTATCCGACTAGGAGAATCGAAATCGCGTCCTCCCCGACCGCACATCCGCTGCGTTACCATTCGGACAATATTACGCCATCAGTTTAAAGTGAAAAAATCCTTTGTTTCAATAACGTCTTATTTTTTTATAATTTAATTTATTTGTTTATTTTTTTTTAATACCCCAAACTATTCATAAAAAAATCATCCATATTGTTTATGCTAATATTAAGTTCTAACTTAAAAATCCTATGGCATATAAATTAAATTTGAATTTACAAACTGAAGTAGATAACTTCGTTATTTAAACCTTTTAAGTAGAAAATTGTTACAAATATAAATGAATGCAAGATTTTGCAAGAGTATTGTGACAAGACTCACAACAAGAACAAGATTTTATGGGCAAGACCAAGAACAAGAACAAGACTATATTTGCAAGACCAAAACCAAGACCAAGTCTGAGTTAGCAAAGCAAGACCAAGAACAAGAACAAGACTAGATTTGCAAGACCAAAACCAAGACCAAGACTGAGTTAGCAAAGCAAGACCAAGACCAAGACTGAGCTATCAAGAACAAGACTATGACCAAGACTTTGACAGTCTTGGTCTTGTTCTTGTTTTGCTCATCACTAACCTTCATTTAAGTCGCCAAATATTGGTATACTCGTATACATGTAAAAATGGTAGTTAAAAGAAAAATTGCATGCAGTTGTCACTGTCTTTATTGTTGCATATACTCGAGGAGGTCATCCAGCTGTAAGAGAATAGATATACTATTTATATATATTTTTCTTCTTTCTTTATTCTTGGCATTACAACTCATCAAGAGTTTTTGCCGCCACCGACACCGCCTTCCACTCCTCTCGATCTTATATTTTTTCTTCCCAATTTAATATCCCTAGTTTCTCTAACGAAAAAGATGGCTTTTCCGCCTTGATGATGAGACTGTTTAATTCAATGGACCAGTCATTATTACCACTGATAGTTGCCCCCAGATATGTAAATTAGTGTACTTTTTCAAATGTATGCTCTTGAATAACTACATTTTCCACCTAGTTGTTTTCTGTTAATAGCTCCATTACTTTGGTTTTATTATCATTTACATTCAACCCTATGGTTTTTGCTTCGCTAATGAGGGCTGTGGTGCTCTGTGCCACGCTCTCTCCATCGTCACCAACTATGTTCAGATCATCTGCAAAACCTAAAATACCAATCTTGTTTGTTCTGATGTCGATGCCATGATTATCCCTTTGTATAATCCGTACGACTTTCTCCAGTGCTATATTAAACAGTAGTGGTGAAAGAGCGCCCCTTTGCTTTAAGCCTGTTACCTCTTGAAATTCTTCGAATAGTATATTGTCGACTCATACTTGGTATTTTGTACCATTCATGCATACTTTCGTTAGGGAAATAAGCTTCTTTGGAATTCCGAATTCGTACATTTTACTATAAAGACTTTCCCGATGAATGCTGTCATATGCCTTTTTAAAGTCAACAAATACCTGCCACATATTTTGCCTGTATTCATACTTTTTTTCTATAATTTGGCAAATTACCGATAACTGATCCGTAGTTGATTTTCCTTTTCGGAACCCACATTGGTACTCCCCCACAAACTCATTTGCAAAAGGTTGTAATCTTCCTAGTAATATCTTTGAAAACACCTTATATGTCATGTTCAATAGTGATATTCTTCTATAGATGTTACAATTAAGTTTATCACCTTTCTTCTGTAGTGGTACTATATAAATATTATATATTCATATAAAAAAAGATAACCATGCATTAAAATTATTTTTTGTGCTTTTCAATGTAAAAGGAAGTCATTATATATTGATAGTGGTTAATTTACCTGAAAAGATTATAACATCATATGATAGTCTCAAGTCATATGAGTCACCTTACACGATGACATTTAAAAATTTCCTAATTTAATGGAAAATATATTAAAAAGAACAACTTCTTCGTAAACTCTAGAAATAGGTGAGGCATCTCTTCAATGCTCACGATTTACGACCGTGCTAGCTGAAACAATGTCTCGAGGATATATAATTCCAATAGATGCAAGTCTTATGCTTTCTATAAGATTAAGACACAAAAATGAAAATATTACTACGCAAAAGTTATCTTAATTTATTTTTAAAGAAACTTTACTCATATGCTTTTTATCAATTTTCTTAATATTCACATTAATTGAGATTTTTGTTGATCCATTTGTATGCTTTCAAAATTTTCATTTTTGTATAGTCTTTTTTTTTTTTACTTTTTTAATGTTATTTTATTAGTAGCAATACTTCATTATACTATCAAGTATTTTAAAATATAATTACATATTAAATATATTAGTTTTCCTATATCCAATAATGGATACAAATAAGTTAAAATTCAGTAAATTATAAATTTTAAAGTTGACGGCTGTACCTACTATCTCAACATTATTTTTACTTATTAAAAATTAAAGAGAATTACAAAAATTTTCTAAATTTTACATTCTTATTTATAAATAAATGGTTTATTATTTAATAATTTCGGTATTGTTAAGAGTTGATTAATAACCATTTAGAAAGATTTTTAAATAAACATTTAAGTAACAAAAATTATTATATTTTTTATTATTGTTGTTAAATAGGATTTTCGAGCAAGTTATGAAATTAAATAATGTTAATTAATCACAATAATGATATAAAAACATTTATAGACTTACTTAGCTTCAATGCGAAGTTGAGAAGGTATATTTTTTACCATGATGTAAGTGTTTTTTTGTGTCAATCTATATAAATTTTCAGTTCATACTATACCAATATAGTTGATTAGTACGTTTAAAAAATTATAATATAATTGATAATATCACAAAAATTATCAAAAATTGAAAATACACTCAATTTTAGTATAGTAACAAATATCTCTAAATTCAATACAATTCCTAATCAATTCTATAATATGTCATTGAACTATAAAATTTCATAATAATATATAATGTATAAAAAGAAAAGACATATATTTGATCTATGTATTCAATAGCTCCTTAAAAACAACATTTCTATGGCTTCTATGAAAATTTGTGCATTTCTATGGATTTCGTTAATTTTGTACATTTTTATGGTTTCTTTAAAATTAATACATTTCTATGGCTTCCTTAAAGTTTTGTACTTCTATGGCTTCTTTAAAATTTGTGCATTTCTATGGCTTCTTTAAAATTAATACACTTCTATGGCTTCCTTAAAGTTTATGTATTTTTATGGCTTCTTTAAAATTACTGCATTTCTATGGCTTCCTTATAGTTTTGTACTTCTATGTCTTCTTTAAAATTTCTATGGCTTTTGAAGTTTCCAAGTACAAACTAATAAAATAACATGAATTTTTAACAATGAATTACTAAGTAATCTTATTAAATTATCATATGTTTTCTAGAGAATTTAAAAATAGTGTTAAAACCCTTTCGATCTGTGGCAAAATTTAGAGATGTTTTTTAAAGTGAATACTAAGATATAGCTTTGAATACGAGTTTGAAGAATACATAATAATTTATATTAATTGGAAGGCGATCAATTTATAGCAAACAAAAATCTCTTTTTAAATCACCGCTAAACTATAATTTCAATTTTAATTTTATAAAATTTGATATTTTAGTTACAATAGTTAAGAGGCTTTATTAGGAATTAAAGATTCAAGTTCTGAAATTAATATGCAAGTTTAATTTCATGTATGTTTATTTTTAGCTCCAATTAGATTAAGTAAAATTTGTTAAAATTATTTCATTGATTTCATTTTATATATTTCTTGGTGTTTACGGACTTTGATTTATTTTTGTAAATTTTTACAATCAGATATAATAGAGAATTCTTATTTAAAACATATTTATTATTCAAGAAAAACATGATACTTTAAGTTTATATTAAGCAATAACGTTAGTTGCATTGCGTAAAACTTAGTAACAATTTTAGGACAAGTATTGTTGATAAAATACGTATTTGGAATACGTAAAATGACTTTTTATCATAATAAAGTTCTAGTAATTCAATTAGATAAAATAAAAATTAGTATATGCATAAATTTATGCTTAATTTTTTAGTTATTACAATTTTTTATAACGCTAATGCATAAAAATCAATGTTGTTTTAATAAATTCTATTATTTTTATTAGAATGGATAAATAACTAGAAGAAGCTACGGTTTTACTGTGTAATTTTTTTTTTTTGTGTTATATCATTGATTTTTGAAATTTATTCAATTAAAAAGGTTTTCACTGAACTGTTAATTTTGTAGGAATTAATCAAATGAACTTAAAAATTTTTTTGTGAATACGATCAACACATTTATTGCTTACCTCTGCAAATTTTTGAAAAGATACCGTAATTTCATAATACGTTTATGGTTCAATCAAAGACTAAATTTAGTCATGTATTAATAAACTAATCAAATAAATAAACGATACTTATTCACGCTCATTAAAATCCATATACTAATAATACTTAATTGTATGACAACATGCTTTTAATACTCTAATTAACATCCATCGATGCGATAACTTTTTTTTGCACTCTGTCTTTATTGATTTAATGTGACCACAAATTACGGAGGTTGATTCATTTGCTTGCTGCATGTGAAATATTAGTTTATATATTTATGATTTTAGTTTTTTTAACATTTAATCATAATTGTCTATACAAAGTTTTCCATAACAGTAAAAAAATATCAAAACAATTATTTTTTTAATTATATGTGTACTACATATTGCTATGGTAATGTAAGTTTTTTGATATATCAAATTATAAATGGACCAATAAAGCAAATTATAAAAACAACTATTTCAAGCAAAGTATCATATAGCAAAATAAGAATAAATGAAGCAACAATGTTTTCCATTTAAATAAATAAATATTTTTATAGTGTTATATTCAAATATATTATTATTTATAAAAATTGCATCACGTAAAAATTGTCAATAAAAAATGCATATTTAAATATTATTTTTGAGTTAATTATTACCACTATCATTATAAATGATAAAATGTCATAAACACATTCAGTCGTTGTTTGGAATGTCAATTAATATAGATAATTATTAGAAAAATTACCGTTACTCAAAACAAAACAGACATTATTAATAAACTTATTGTTTTTTACTGAATTTCCATTTTTTGTGTTCATCGTGCGCTCCCTTTTTCCCGTATTTTTTTTCGTGTCCGTACTTTTCGTCGTGACCAGCTGCATTTTTGTGACCCTTCTCTTCTTTGTAATGTTTGCCATTCTTGTGTTTTCCTTTTTTGCCTTTATGGTCGTGGTGATGTCCAGAGTGTTTATGTCCTTTCTTGTACTTCTTACCTTCCTTATGACCATGTTTTTTCTCGTAGCCACCATGTTTCTTGTGATGACCGCTGTCATGGTGCTCATCATAGAAGTCCTTATGCTTTTTATACTCATCTAATTTGTGAACTTCGTGTTTTCCTTTGGTACTGTGGCCCTTTTTATACGCTCCTTTGTCCTCAAATTTATGTCCTTTCTCACCCTTCTCCCCTTTATGGTGGTCCGCGTAATATCCTCCCTCGTCATGATGTTTTTTCTTGTGTCCACCGTGTTCAGAGAAATGCTTTTTTTTTCCTTCCTTTTTGTGATGTCCCTTTTTACCCTTATGTTCCTCGTGGTGAGACTTATATCCTTTATCAGCTTTATCACCTTTTTTGTGGAAATGATCTTCTTTGTGATTAGAACCACCGCCTTTTTTAAATTTTTTCGATTTCTTCTTTTTTTTGTGCGATGCAGCGACGGCTTGATCCTCTACCGGAAATGCGGTTGCTGTATTAGGAACATTGCTGTGTGAAATTGGTGATTTTAGCAATCGAGTATGTGTCGCTTCAGTCAATTGTCCTCCAGGATCAATAATAGCTACATGACTTTGTACTTGATGCCAAATAAATAACACTAAAATACTTTTCAGCACTACCTTCTCGAACATGTTTAATAACTATTATGCGCAAGTAATTCTTTGAATAATGCTATAAATACTCTGACATAATATGCAATATTTTCTTCCCACCATTTCATGATTATCAAACATGACTAACAGCGGTCGCTTAAAACTGTCAAGTCGTCACAGATAAAACACATTGTGTTTTGTCGACATTCATGGTTGCTCATCCACAACAATTCCTTCAACCCGCAGTCATTGATTTCGACCTCAGCGTCCGCTCCATCGCCGCCTAACTAAATATTATTAATTGTATTAATAATTTATTAGTACAAAAAGGGCTAAATTTAAAAGTGAAAATTATTTGTACTACATAACTTAGTTGTGGACTTAAACCGTTTGCTTTCTATGACGTTTTAAAAAACTTTAGGCTTTTAGATTTTTAGTAATGGTTTCAAATCAAGTCTTACCTATGTATACCTTTAGAATGAGTGTTATATATTGAATATATTAATTATTTTAAAATAAAAACATTTTATTATTTTTCTTATTAGTAATATGATGAAATCATATCCTAAACGTAGTTAAGAAGACAGTAATTATATTTAAAAAATGTTCAACAAAATTGTAACTGGATCAAAATGTATAAGCGTTGTTGGTTAGATTTGAGATAATCTACATATTAATTCTGAGTTTATAAAAGTGTATAAAAGAAATATAAAAGTCTGGACATAAACGAGTGAATAAATTAAGTTAAGTTAAACTTTTTAGCCTAACGAAGTTATTTAAATTATATGTTGATTTAACTTCTCTCTTGTTTATAAAATGACTAATTAACGTATATTCTTGGTATTTTTCTTTAAATACTTGTAATAATATTGTGAATATGATAAAATAAAATTTCATTTAAATTAGGTCGACAAAATTAAAAATTGATTATAATTATTGTATTACAAAAATTATAATTGGCCATAGCTGGCAAGAAGACATTTTCCAAGGGTGCAATCATACAAAGGCACAATTTTAACGAGTGGCCGTTCTACTCAATTATAATTAAAACACAGAATTAGATTTATTTATAAATTTTGTTTAAGACACTTTGAATAGTACCAATTTTGTGGAATTTTGTTATAGAATTATATAGTGTATTGAAATTTTTTCTATTTCAAGAAAAGTTAGACCCTTCAATTTTCCAAAACTAAAACATCAGTAAAATCACATCACTAATTATTAAACAATTTTTATTGGCTGATGTTATGTTCGGAATAACTAAACAAAATTTGTAAAAATTGATCAAGAATTTTTTTTAATACAGCCACCCAAAAAATTACATCTTAGGAATATGATATGGATGCAATCCTACTAGAACTTAACTTAACCTAACTAGTTAAGTTAATGAAATTTAGGCAATTTAATTTTTAACCTAATTTATTAAGAAAAATAACGGATTCATTTAAACTATTAAATTGTTAATTTATTTAATTAATTTAATTTTAAAATGTTTTAATAATCAATAAGTTGTCTAACCTTATTTATATGTGTTAATTATTGTTTATGAGCAGATTGTAATATTCTTATAAATAAAAAAATATATAAAACTCTTAATTAGAAATTGATGTCTATTTTTTTTATTATTTGTTGGAATTGAGGAATTCAATACATTTACTTATAAAATTTTTATCAGTCCCTATTTTTTAAATTCTCTATTTTATGAAAAATTAAGTTATGTTTGTGGTATAGACGAACTTTCTCTTACCGTCATCACTACTAAGATTTTTTTTTTTCGATCCTTAAAGTTTACTGTTTAAAAATCCTATTCAAATCGAATTTTGAGAACAACTTGAAGTTCATACTTTGTTACAATCAGTAATATTCCACATTACACTATTGCAAATAAATCATTGATGTTATTGTTACTCATGCGAGGCTCATTGTTTTTTTAGGTTATCAATGGTAAAAATAAATAACGTCATTTAAAAATTAATAATTATTTTTAATAATGTAATTCATATTTAGTTATGTATAACCAATATAGTATTGGTTATTAGAAAGTGTGCTAGACATCCCACGTACTCAAACCTGATGATCCGTTTCATCCAAGTATAATGTATTTAGTTAACAAGATATTCTAGTTTGACATTCAACTTCTCCGTTAATGTTTATCATTAGATCCTTTATTTTACAGTATCCAAGCTTCGCTGTTTTATTATTCTTGTTACTAAAGAATTTCTTAAATTCATATTTAATCAATTAATTTAATTGCATTACAATTTGTTTTTACTATAAATAAAAATGTTCATTTTATTAAAATGCAAGAGTATTTATTTTTTCATATTAAATATGTTTAGTTAATCCCTTCAACTATGATCAAAATAAGTATATCTCAGACGGAAATATGACGGATATTAATTGTTGAAAGAAATCAGAAAAAAATAGTTAAGATATTATACAAAAATAAAAACGCTTAAATATTATTTTAGCTTTCTGTAAGGTTTTTTTAATATTAAGATAATAGCTTCTGGTCTCAGGCTCTGGTGTATTTTTAAATAGATAAATTATGTTTGTCAGTATACTATTCTACAAAAAAAGTTTAGTTAAAAAACCAAGCTGAGCAGCATGTTGTTCATTTTTGGTCATTTATGTTCCATGCATATGATATTTTTGTTTTTGAAGGTATCTGTAGTATTTTTATTTATCTAAAACTCATTTCATTAAAAAAAAACAACCACTTTCTATCTTAGTACTAACAATTTTTTTTCCCCAAAAAATTAAAATGTACTTTTTAATCATTAAAAATTATTGTGTCCAGCGTTACTAATCAACAATCTCATTACTTCATATATCTCAAAGATTGAAGAAAAAAATAATTTTCTTATTTAAACTTTATTTTTATTAAATAATATAAATACAAATATTAAAATAAATAAAATCAAAAAATACAAAATAGCAAATAATACGAATCAAATAAAAATATATATAGTGATGATGTTTATAATTATTATAATGGTAATTGTATACTAATTCAAGTAATGTGTCAGTACATTAGAAATTTGAAATCTAAAGATAATCATATCATTTTAGATTTTTATAGTTCAACCTTGTTTTTTCTTACTGAATCCGTATTTTTTGAAGTGCTTATTTCCTCCTTTCTTGCCATAGTCTTCGTGATGTGAGTGATGTTCATCATGTCCTTTCTTTCCATGGTGACCCTTGTGCTCCTTATCATAATGCCCCCCTTCTTTGTGGCCTTTCTTGCCATATTTATCAGCATGGTGTCCAGATTTGTGATGATGACCTTTCTTATGTTTACCTTCTTTATTGGCATGTTTCTTATGATGAGAGCCATGTTTTTTATGGTGTCCTCCTTTATGGAAGTCGTCATAGAACTTATGTTCTTTATGGTACTCATCTTTATGAAACTTATTGTGGTAACCTTTAGTTTTATGTCCTTTTTTGTGTCCTTTCTTTTCGCCATATTTAGCACCTTTGTGACCCTTTTCACCTTTATGATGATGTCCGTATTTTTCAGCTTCATCGTGTTTCTTTTTCTTATGCCCTCCTTCTTTTTTATAGTGACCTTCATGTTCTTCTTTGCCATGTTTTCCTTTCTTCGCCTTGTCATGGTGATGTTTTGTTTTGTACCCTTTGTCTGATTTGTGTCCTTTTTTCAGATGGTGCTCCGACTTTTTTTTAGATCCTCCACCTTTGGACGACTTTTTCTTCTTTTTGTGAGACGCCGCTACATCTAGATCAATTGGTGCTAGTTGAGTGCCAACATTTTTCGTAAAAGCTACTGCTTTTGAGTCAGGATTCAGCTCAGTTCGGATATTTCCAGAAGCAAGGGCAATCAAAGATTCATTGAGTGTATCATCGGGTATTTTTCGAGTATACCCTTCCCGCGCAAATAATGCGAAACACAATGTAAAATACACGAGCAGTTTTATGGGTCCCATGATGGTCAGGGTTCGTTTCCACGTACCAGAACAATTCAATACCTAGAAATACACCATTTTCTGTAAACCTAAAACATAATTATCTTGAAAAATAATTTAGAATCAGTAAAAATGTTCAACCGACTACGGCCCGATTACAACTGACTATCATGTCACTGTCAGTACTCATTTTTATAACGCTTGCGACACATTATATCGGATGCTTTGACTTGGCATAGCAGTAGCTGCCTCCACCGACGTGTACCAGTTACGCTTTCATGCTCGTTGAGCGACGGCCGCCACCAAAGTCAATCAGCCATTTCAGTTGCCCACACTTCTTATTACTGATCTTAAATATTGGTCACCACAATATACGACGACCACAAAACAAATGTTTGAATTACGAAAATAACATAACTAGTTTAATATTATGTCAAATATTATAATACTTTAATAAAAATGATAAAAATAATTGCATAAATTAAAAAATGTAGCACGAATATTATGATTACAACAACGAGGATAGTTAAACAAAAATTATAATGATCTTTACTTATTATCTTTAGCTAGGATGTACATTTACTAATTCTAGACACATCGATCAATATATATGATAATTGGAACATTTCGTAACCAAATTTTTTAACTTTTTAACGTCATCCATTTTAATATGAAGGAGCATATAGTTCTATAAAACTATGCAATATATTAATGTGTTATTATTTGTTTCTATAATGTTTAAAGAAAGTAGAACAAGATGCTATAAACTTTAATATTATTACCAGATTCATGTAAAATAGGTAGGCTTAAAAATTTCTTTTTTTATGCATCTTTTTTTTTTATAATCCATTTTCAGAGATAATGATGAACTTTTCCAGCTTTTGATATATTTAATTATAGTGTTAATTAATAAATTTTAAAATTGAATAGCGGTATAAATCTTATTTAAAACAGCTTCGTATCGAATCTAAATAGAAAACTAAACTAATATATACCGTTTAATCATAATTTAAACATTAAGACTTATCTATTTATTACTCAAGATCAATAATCAAAAAGTTAGTCTAGAAAAATTTTAAATTTAAACTAAGTCCTTGAAATGAATTGAAATGTGTCATAAATGAGATTGAAAGTCAAAAGATAATTTTAAAAAAATGATTGAAAATCTTCTAAGAGAAGCATTTGCAAAAATAAACTAATTCTTACAAATTTAAATTAAAATTATTATTTTTTGAATAAGTATAGAACAACAACTCAAATTCATAAGAAAAAAAGAGTTTACCTTGAGCTGACTTAACCGACAGATTATTTTAATATCGTCATAGACAGTTTACTGTGATATCCAACCCCTACATATTGTACTTAATTCACGGTTTTTTTGAGTGAGTGTCGCAATGTATTATTTTATAATTTCAAATCTAAATTCATCGGAACATGCACTACTGAATCGCCTGTACAATACTATTAACCTTCGCGTCTCTAAAACGATTACATGCTTTAATGGGCATATATTACTGTGGCGACGGTCACTGATACGGAATTTTCAAATTCTGAACTTCTTAGAAAAATTTTCATAACATTTAAAGTATTACATTTAATTCACTTTCCTGTTTAGATTTCATGAACTGTATTTTTGCAAAAACAAAGAGGAAACTCGATTGTATGGATTTAAATAGATTTATTATGCAACAACATTTTATAATATTATTTTAAGATTTTCACGCAAAAATCTTAATTTTCCCTATACTAATGATAATAAGATAAATTAAAAAAAAAAAAATTATAAAAAAGATTTATTCAATTTTATAGTTTTATTTAGTCAACATAAAAAAAAACCTTAATTTTTAAAATAAAATCCAATGCATCTTATTAACATTGAATTTTTAATTTAATCTTAATTTCTTAGTATAGTTCACTCTTGATTGTAATAAATTTTACCACAGATAATCACAAAATAATTTAGTAAAATTTAATTCAAGTAGCAATATGTTAAAATGATTTGTTAATTAGTGTTCGAAAAAAAAATTAACTGTTAAGTTTATGATAAAACATCATATGACCTATGAATATGAATAGAGTTTTACAAAATTTTATGGTGTCGTTTAATATCAATAAGAATAAATTTTGGTGCGAACCTCAAAAAACTCTAATTTTGGAAAGTATAACTTTTTTACTTCGATGTTTTTTTTATCCTACTAAATATCACCATAGTACCAAAGAATAATTTAGTGAGGACTGTGAGTGCACTAAGATTTTTCAAATCAATACATAGTACATAACATATATAAACACATTAGATATACATTTAATAAATGTAGGATATTTTAATTATACTTAAAATGTTGTCGATTGATTCATAAAATATCTTATATGATTTATAAATATAAAATTGAAAAAACGTATGGTGATTATTGAGATAAAATATAATTCATTTGGACGTATAATAAGTCATTACCATTTTATAGTTATTCTTGTGAAAATCGAACAACATATGAAACGCTTATTTGAGGAATGAAAAAATTCAAATTATATAAAGCGTGGTCTGTTAAAATTGAGATGGCTAAAGAAAAGTATTTGTGACATACCCAGAAAATGCAAAAAAATAAATAAATAAAACTACTCTATTTTGACTTAAAATGACATTTTTAAAAGCTTTAGGTTGAGGTTATTAAAAAACATCAATTATAATGCTCGTCTATAACATCAGTATATATTATAAATTTTTTTTAATACATTATTTTCTGTGATATAAAAATAAAAAATGTTGTCTAATTTTTATAAGAAAACATTATATTTGAAAATTTGTTTTTCAACATTTTGTGAATTGAGTTGATTTTAAAATATTATAAAACATAAAACATAAAATTATATTATATTATAATATTATAAAAATATTATTATTTTTTAAACAAACACTCTTATTGTTTTGTTTTACTTTGTGGCACAACAAAAAATGAACGAGTGTGTTTGAATCAGTAATAGATGTTAAATTATTTTCAAAACATTTTTTCGGTTAATATTTTTTAAAATACTTCCAATAAAAGTTTGCAAACATATATTTTTCAATCCAAGAATCTTGTCCCAAGATTCAACTAGTTTAACTCACTCATATTTACATAAAAACGAATAATGATTAAGAATATTTCTAATAAATTATCAATAAATGTTTGCATTTAAATCTTTGTTAATAACAAAATATTTTAACAAAGAAGTTTCTTATGGCTTGGTAACTTAAATAAAAGCGTAATGCAAGTTTTTGAATTATTTTATTTTTTAACTAATTAAACTTATTTTATACTATTTAGTAATGGGTAGGTTAAATGTAAGAGGTTTTATGAATAAAATTGATTGGAAAACTTCATATTCATAAATTAACACAAAATTTATTTAACAATCAATCTATTCTCCATATTGTTAACAACAAACTATCATGAATTTGTTTCTTTTTGAATGCTTTCTTTGAATGAGTGCAGCAGTTATAATTTATTTTTATATCATCAATGAAATACAAAATATATAATTTAAACATAGTTCTTTATACATTTTTTTTCGAGTGTAAATTATAATAAGAAAACAAATATACTTATTACAATATTATTAAAAAGTTCCTTACAGAGATTTAAATTGTTTAAACTTCAATTTGATTATATTCTGTTGGACTATTCTTTTTATTTATTTTTATTATTTTTTTACTTAAAGTCCACTTTAACTTATTTTACTTTATAAAAATATAAATCGTACATTAGGTTATAAGTAAAACTACCATTACAATTTGTTTTTTTTTTTAATTTTTGTAGACATTATACCATTTAATAATGATAATTTTTAGATTATTACTTAAGTTAGTTCAGTTTTCATAAGCATATTAAATAACTATAATCGATTATTTTTCTTAAGAAGAAATTAAAATTCCACATATATTTAGACAGATTTTTATTAGTTAAAAATATAGCAAAATATTTTTACATGAAGTCAATATTTTAAATTATTATCATGTATAAAATTAAAAAGTAAATAAAATCAATAAAATAAAAACAACAACAACAACAACAAAAATAATAATAACAATAAAAAAATATATGTTTAAGATGACTTAAAGTATATAATTGTAATTTATAAAATAATTATGACAAATTATTTTAAAATAGTATTTTTATCGATTTTAACAATGAAAACAATCATAAAAAAATCATGAAATTTATGACGAGAAAACTGATAATTTGTGAAATATCTTTAATAGATATATATTTTTGGAATAAAAAGTTAAATAATCTAATATAATTTAGGCGATGGTGATGAATATCTCTGAATAAAATAATAAACAAAAAATGCCAAAAAGAAGCGAATAACAAAACACTATTTAGTTATTAAATTAAAAAAGTCATGAAAAAAAGTTTTATAGTTTTAATAAAAAATATTTCTTAATAAAATAGTTAGTTATAACGTATTATTGATAATAGAAACTTTCATGAAGTAAATAAAAAAAAACAATATACTATATTTAATCGACCAAGTTGGAAATCCAAGTCACCTGATTATAAAATGGTTATGAAGCAAAATTAAATTTCACCGTAGGAACAGAGAGAGTCTAGTTTTAATAATAGGTATCGGCATCGTTGTATACATCGGCTGAATCGTACAGGCTTCCATATTCGGGTTCATCTGCTTCAAAATCTGCGGCTGAACCATCGTCACCGTCGTAAGCTTCCACGCTGTCATATTCTGTAGCCTCAACAAGTGGCTCCTTCTTCTTGGAAAACGTTTGTGGTTTTCGAGAGTCGAACACATATCTTTTAGTCGGTTTGCCGTCTTTCTGCTCAAAATGCCACGCCTTATATTTAGGACTGAATTTTCCATTGTCATCGAACGAAGACGATTCGTGATACGCACCTGAATGGTCTCCGTCGCCAGCAGACACACCTCCATATTCTATTTGAGATCCAAAACCATAACTGTCTGAATCCCCGAGACCGTAAGATCCGTTCTCGTCGTACCCGCGGTCACCCTTGTCGGATTTCGTTTTCACATAGCCGTCCATTGCTCCGGCACTTCCCATGACTTTCTTTGACTCAGCCACGACCGGTTCCGCCACAGGCATAACTGCAGATTTAGTATCAATTTTGGACTCGAAAACTGTCGTGTCTTTAGCAGTCCTGGTTGAAGCAGCCGAAG